AATGAAAACAACCGGGCTCAAGTGGAATTAGTTGAGGTTTTAGAAAAAATTATATATACTGAGTGGCATTTACTTTTTGTTATGTTAACTTTCAGGAAATGTCGTCTGTCAAGTAAATTAATAATTTGAGTTCAGTTTGTTTGGGTTGATGCTTAACAGACCCCACGGGTATTAGGTGACTTTTTAATGAAATTCTAAATCAGTTTATTAACTCATGATTAATCTTTTAACACCGAGCACGAAAACTGACAGCAGATGACAGCACCACTATTGAAAATTTCAAAATTTAATGAAGCCCGATCCAGACGCGGTACTTTTTGTAAGCCGAACCCAATATACCTTACAATTAGGTGCAGGAAACGTTCGGCAGCAAAACAAATTAACAATCGTCACTTCAATTTGGAACATATTAACCGTTCCTCCCTCTTGGCTTTGCAGGGAAGTTTGGAACGGCTGTTTTTTTTCGTTGAAGTCGTTCCACGGAATCCGCATTTCCACGTAATGCGGATTCCGGAATGCGAGAAATTTTTGCTCGTGGAATCTGGTCTCCTGGGCTTTGGACTCCGGAATACAGCTGAAGTACTGCGGATTCCAGATAACAATTGGAATCCCGAATCCAAGTTCCACTTAAAATTAATCCGGAATCCAGTATTCGGAGTCCCGAGTCCAGAGCGAAGAATCCAGAATCCAAGACAATCTTGGATCACCTAACATGACGTAATAGAATAATAGGTAGACGAGGCGAACACTCCATACAAGCTGTCATCAGTTTCTATGGTACTGCACACAAAATGTTAATCGCCGATTTTTTGCTCTGCAGTTTGGCATCGGAATTCATTGAGCTTTCAATTAAGTCTGCCAACAACATTGTTGTCCTGTATCATTGATAGCAACGCCATTTTGTTAAAGAATTTGATATTGAACATCTGAAATCTCGCATCCTCTCAAATCCTATCTCTGGGAGCCGCCATCTTGAATCAATCAAACCTAATTAATCACTTGAACTAAACTATAAAAGCTGGTTACCTCGTCTGTGTGAGACTGTCCTGCAATCGAGATACACCAGTCATGAAATTCGAACAAAAATGATTTCTATAAAAAATTCAAATTAGCACCTTGCATTTTTTTTCTCTTTAAATCGCCATTTCTTTAACTTGAGGCGAAATAACGCTTCCTTAATGTAACCAACGCACCAGCAATAATATAAGTCGCAAAAGAGTTTAAATTCACAAACATAATACATTAAGAGCGGAACGACTAATTACAACAATGGAAATAACGTAGGAAATACAGGTAACATAGGAAATACGAGATAAACGAAGACAGAGGACATTACCTGACGATTTGGGAATACGGCGAAAGAAGTAAGATAAAGAACGTAACGTAGTTGTAACAGCTAGCGAACTCGAGCAAGATACTTAACGATTTGCATAACCCGCGCGAAAGTCGAATTACTTATACGTAAACACGCGAACTGGGACTAGGCGGGGGATTGGTTACTACACTTAATACCGTACAGCACAGGCTAACCTCTGCTTTTGGGCACGCGTTTATTACTAACAGTTCTCTTGGTCCCAGAGATACCTAGCTTCATACAAAACCGTATTAGAAAGATCTGAAACTATTTTAATCTTGATGAATAAATATTGCTAGTGGAAGCTAAATTTTGCGATCAATAAACACCGGAAGCAAATTTAAAAACATAGACCTCATAAATGTCTTGCCGTTGTTGCAAAGATGGTCACGATGTCGAGTTAGTTTTAAATTTTTCTCCGGTTCAATTCTTTGCTGCCTTTGGTAGCTAAAACTTTAAACAGTTTTGAATATATACATCATCATCAAATTCTGGATGCGCACTAAAAGATTTCCTTTCCACCCTACACTATGCGCATGCGTCAGATAAGCCAGTTTCTCTTCCGAACAGATGGCAGAAGTATTTAAAACCCGATTAAACGACAGTCTCCAAAAATTTTATCCCCGCACGTAAAACCCGAAATACAAAAAAAAATACTGGTTTGAATGACCCAAAGGGTTTGGGTTGTAAAAAATTCCCCATGCAAGCTGAAAAGATGGGGAGTCGATCTTTGCGTTAGTGTTCCTAAGAGGGCAAAACTGTCTCACGAGGTTGTGATCCAATACACTGCTGTAGCTTTTACTCGCGGGATGAGGGATCAAAAATTTAGAACAGTTGCAAGATTGAGGCGCCTTTGTTGAAATTTTCGACCCTCGGGCAACACTAAGGACCGACTAAGCATATCTTTTCCGACATTAAACCTAAATAATTTAGTCAGCTCTATGTTTGATAACAACTAAACAAAAAAGATTTTCACTGACATTCAATTTACACATCGAGTACGTGATGTTGTGGCGATTGTCTAGGGACATAAAAGCTGCCGCGCAGAATGATGTGTTTTACAAAACACAGGAAAAACTTCCTGGGCCTCTTGTGTCAAAGCAATTAGTAATTGTCGCCGCTTACCTTAAGTAAGCAGGTCAGTCTAAGCAGATGAAGTTTCAAGAAGGCATTTTCTCCTTAGAGTGAAAAGGATGTGTGATAGTGTTTATGTCAGGAACACCTGTTTTTAGCCATTATTCCCTGAGAGAGTGTTACGGATTTCAGAGTGTCTCTCTTAATGAGGGTTTGCGTTTTAAAAGGATCATTATCACCGATGATTTGCGTGAAGGCGTGACACTTTGAAAATACCTTGCTTTAGGATAATGTTCATTAATTTTGCAATTAAACAACTGTACATAATAGAGAATAAAGAAATGGCCTAATACAACGTCTTTCACGACTACGCTGGCGTTAAAGAAGTTCTGATTTAGAAGCAATTAGTTTTGGGTAACCGAGGTAGTGAAGATCAATTGCACGATACGCTTTAGGATTTGGATACCAATACAGTAGAAAACTTGGCTGCTAGGATAAATTGCACAGAACACAACTATTTTCTTTAACGGTTAGTATAGTAGTTGGTGAATGTACTTACCAAACATAATCATCAACATTAATTATATAAGGGAGCCGCACTTCATTTGCATCAGTGAAAATGTTTACCCTTTTTTCATATGGTGTTGGGATTTTGATCATATTGTTCAAAATTATGGATGACAAACGGCCTCTTCAGAGCAAAGAACAAGCGTACTGCAAATAGTTTTCATCTTTAATTTGTGAGCATGCAACTATAAAACTGCTCAGAGATTACTCGGTGTTCCTAAGCAAACTGGGCAACATTGACGCTTTGCTTAACCTTTTATTTTAGTTTTTATTTTTTTGTATATGTATATATGTATTTTTTTTATTTCAACCTATGACTTGGCTGACGAGGCCGCGATGCTGATAAACAACGGGCTTCCTCGTTCCTACATACAAATATAAATTAATAAGCATGTCATGAACTACATGCATGTTACATGTAAGGGTTATCCCTGCGAGAATTAGATAGACGCAAGGTATAAAAAAAATATGGAATAAGCTTGATCAAAAGCAGATAAAAATCGATGAAGTAAATTGCTTCTTCAGGTAAGTGTTATACTCCTGGTGCAAATAACAGATGAAGGCTTAATATTGTAAAATAAACTGTGGTTTTTGCTATATTTTTAAGACGCGCAATCTTCATCCATGTGGTTTTATCAAGGGGTCGCAGCACTTAAAAATTACGTTTCACTAGACTCATCTGCGACGATGACTATTTTTCCATTTGATGTGGTTGCAATCTTGGTAACAGGAATTTTCAATAGAACTGTGTTTTCCTTGTGATTAGCCTGCGGAACACGCGTTTTTCTTACAAAAGCTCAGGGGTAATCGTGGACGCCATCGTGAAAGCTTTGTAGGCCTTGTACCTAAAGACATGTTAAGATAAGTCACTGACAAATGCCTCGACTTCAAACGAAACGTTTTCTGTTTATTAAACGGGGAGATGAGTATAATTCATTTCATTGCTTCTGTCGGTACCGACCAAAATCAAAACACAGCAGCTCAAGCCGACATCGCCGCGTTTTCACCAGCGATACCAACAAGTTTGAAATTAAAGATTATGATATTTGAAAAAGGAACTGCCTTTTTTGTTAACCTGCTGAGAATTTTAAGAGAAACCCTTTTAAGATAACATTAGCACTGTGCAGTGATCACAGTTTGGAATTAAAATGACTGATGGTGACAATGATTCCCCACATGAGCTGGAACCGCATAACAGCATTAGGAGAAAATGGGTCTCATGTTTACAGCCCTAGGAACACAACATGTATGGAATATCTAAAAAGTCAAATCACATTTGTTTCTTCCGCTTATTGTTACTGTTAATATTTCCTTCTTTTGGAAAATAATGTCTGTTGCGGGATAAAAGTGTACATTTGTAAATTTGTACATTTGTACATTTACCCCTTCTGGCTTTAAGCTTTTATTATTAATAAAATTCGAGTTGCAATTGTTGCAGAGCTTGCTTTGGTCCTTTCAGAAAATGATTGCTCTTTGCTTTATAATTTCCTGCTGCGTCGACAAATTAAACGTTCGATAAAGTCATTTCAAAATACGCCCTTGCAGATGTTTGTTTGTTTGTTGTTTTTTTTTTTATGTTAAGGTCTTCATAAGGATAAGGAAACCACACGCAAATTACTATGGAGAATTTTTGACCCAAGAGGTTGATTTGTCTCGAATGTACAAAATTTTGATACTTTCATTCCTTAAGCTGTTACTTAAACTTTATGACTGTCATTTTTTTTCAGTTTTGAACATATTTGCGTCCTCGAATGAAAGAGCAAAATGAACGGCAAAAGTGGGTCTCGCTGGACGTTTGCGACATATGTAATTGCAACTCTGTTTATCAGGGCAGTCCAATCGAAAGAAAGGTAAAAAATTGAATAAAAAAAAAAATACATAATTTAGTCTTGTCAAACAAATATTATCTGTTGACTTGATTGTCTGCATTTAGAAAAACCCTTTTTCTATAACAATGAAATTTATAGAATGATTAACAATATGCTCAGTACTATGCTTTGTTTTTAGTGCCGAAGCAAAAACTATGACAGCCCTCTTAAACAATCTTATTAAAGATTACGACAAAAGACTAAGACCAAACTTTGGAGGTAAGCGTCGATTTCTATTTCTTTGACATATATTTACTGCTAGCCCACTATATTACATGCAAAGTCATATACCCACTACGGTACAAAGAACTGCCGAGGGGTGGGGGGTTGGGAACCAGTATCACGTCATTTGTATTGTGTTGTATTGTTATGCGCATTTGATCATGTACTAGTATGTTAATTTGCGCAATAGCAAATATTAAATTATTATAAGCTGTACCACAGGAGCTGAAAAGATTTCCATAAGGCGAAAAGCCCAATGCGAATGAGATCATGCATGTTTGAAATAATTCTTCAGTGTTCTGTGATAGTGCGCCTCCCTAAGAGTTGCGCCTTAACGTGGTGGCGAGGTTTGTGTGCCATGATGATCCTGAAAGCTATACCAGTTGGGACCTTAGTCCCTGGTGGTTTTAACTGTGCTGAGCAGTTTTGGGCGAGAATACAGACAAATCGCAGCACCTCGTCTTCCAGATTGGGGGTGGGTGAAGGGTTAATGTCTCATCCCCGTAAACAAGTGTCATTATTCATATTATTGAAAACACGCGCATTTTTCAAGATGGCAGGAGAAGGATATAGAGCCTTATTCATAATAGAGCGCGAAAAGGCGAGGGTAGGTATGTAGACAGTGCAGGTCGGGACCTGTCATTCATTCCTTCTGTCTTCTTTTTCTAGGTCCGCCAGTTATGGTTACTGTAGGATTATGGGTCTTGTCCATTGACTCAATCAACGTTGTTGACATGGTAAGCTGAAGTTGGGATTAAACTTATTCTCTATTCAGTGAAAAATTAGAGTAGAGTAAGTTTCGGAAAGTGAGAACTTTTCATAAATAGACTGAAGACTGGGACCACAAAAATAGCTACTCGAAGCGTGAACTATACATGTCATCCTTTTAAGTATAACGCCCTCAGGACCGATCCAGCCATAATATATATATAGCTACATTTAAACGGACGCAACAACTCCCAATATTGTTGGGACCTGCCATGCATCTTGGGAAGGATACAATCCTTAGGACTTTGTAAACCATGTGTGATATTATATATGACTGTTTATGAAAGAAACTCATTACAGCAATACATTGTACGTATAAGGCTGAATCACAGAGCTACTTACACAGTCGTATAATAATATGTACAAATATAGGTAATAAATCGCAAAGCTACTTAAAAATTTACTAACTAACAACAACTAATACTTAAAAGCAATAAACAAATCTGGTGCTCCTGACCTCAGATGATAATTATTGTGAACTTCCTCCAGTTTAGGGAGAATAGAGCAGTGTAACGGGTGGTTTTCGTTGTGTAATCTAGCAGTGTAGACCTGACATAGGTGGACTCGTCTCTCTTTTAAGGTCGTGAGAGAAAGTGCAGATAAACCCTCATTGTAATCGTGCTTAGGAAATATGAAACGCATAGCCCTTTTGTGAATGCTCTCGATCGTAGAAGCCAGAACTTCAGGTATGTTTTGCCATACGGAGACAGCGTATTGTAAAGCTGGGCGAACAATAGCTACAAATACCTTAGCTAGAGAAACTGGTGGAGCTCCACACTGCTTGAGAACTCTGAGTCTGACTGGTTTTAAACTTTGCGCAACAACTCCCAGCGAAACTGCAATAACATGCAGCAACATGCAATAGGGTGTGCAAACGGACGCAACAGGTAACATCCGACAACGTTGGGAGTTGATGGCCACCAATGTTGCGTCCGTTTGCACGAGGCTTGTTATTTTGACTCCACTACACAACATCAACAGACAAAACGTAATGGCAAATAAGTTTATTTTGGGACGGCTTGGCGAGAACCAACCCTACAAAGTACGTAGATAAAGAAAAAAACAAAGAGAGGGTGGTTCGTAAGCCTAGATGACGTACACGTGATATACGCAGCCTTATATACCCCCGATATGGCTGCCCATGGTGCACCCGGCCTAGTAGCCAGGCCCTGTTGTATCTCGTGCCGTCAAAATATTTATTTCTGTCTTCTTCGAAGGCTCATTCGTCAGAAATAACATCTCTATTATACTTTCTTTCTTTCTTTCTCTTTTTGTTAGGACTACAAATTAGATTTCTTTCTTAGACAACTTTGGAATGATCCTCGCTTAAAGCATAACCGGAATGAAACCCTAGCTGTTAGTAACTCCATGTTGGACAAGATTTGGTTGCCAGACACGTATTTTGAGAATTCCAAAAGTTCACAGTTCCATAAAGTAACGATGATAAACAAGCTGTTGTCGATATCTCCTGATGGTGGGGTTCATTACAACGCAAGGTACCCAAGCCAATAATAAGAGGCCAAAAGCTTAATCTTTATTATATTGGTCTAATGATTGGAGTTTGAAAGTGTTGCTTATTGAGAAGAGGGGAAAACCGGATTACTCAGAGCTAAAGCTCTTGGTGCGAGGGAGAGAACCAACACCAAACACAACCCACATATGACGTCGAGACCAGGACTCGAACCCAGGCCGCTTGTGGTAAACGAATATTCTCACCACTGCCGGCGCCATAGTCGCTCCTCGAAACATTTTGTGGGGCTGTTCCCTACAGAATCAAAGCTACTGCGTCGCTTGGCACCGAAATGCAGAGCTTAAAGTTATCAAATGGGTTAATATGGCAAATTAAAGAAATTCAGAAGCTTTTAGGCGCTGCCTTTAATCAGAAACTCTAACCACACTGTCAGCGTTACTCTACTGTCAAATTCCCTAATCGATATCACGAAAAATAGCCCATTAAATTTGATCTTCATCGCTGAGAATACTCATTGCGCGAAACACAAGTTACACTTTAAATCTGATCATTTAAAATTAAGAAATGGTAAACGTGCAGCGTGCAACCATGGAGTTATGGATGTACGCGGGAGGTTGCTAAGCACGAAAGAAGCGTAAGAGTCGCACGAGGCGATAGCCGAGTGCGACTCTAGCTTCTTGAGTGCTTAGCAAACCTCCCAAGTGCATCCATAACTCCATGGTTGCACAGCTGCAACGTTTACCATTTCTTTTATAACATAATCAAAAGAGAAAAACATTATTTTCCATTTGCCTTCGGTTGAGTCATCGGTCCGAGTTCATGTATGGTGACATCTGCCCGCGCGTAAACAAATCATGTTCTATGTTTTTCAAAAACTTGCCTTTGAGTTTTTCTTTCGCTGAATCAACCGTTCTCCGTCCTCAGGTAAATTGCAAAACGTTTTTCGTTGTTATTCTGAATGGCATCTGTCTACTTGCTCTTAATATTAGGGTAAAAACTTTGAGGGAAAACTATAGCTGCAACTATAAACACCAACTAAAAGGACTCTAAAAAATAAGCTAAAACTAAATAAATGAAATAATTATCAAGCTTATTTATGTGACAATTTTTGAAATAAACGCAAAGTAGAAATGAGAAAATTTGACTGTAATTCCTTTAGAATAACAGGTAACACTAATTTTAAAAAGAAATTAACTAGCTTTGTATCGAAATCTGTCTGGGGAAATCCAGCTATGAAAGTGAAAGTTGAAACTGAAATTCGCCGACACACAGCCGGCGCTGAAGCTGTTGTTTTTCGACCGTTCTCCGAACGACTGTTATGAATGAACACTGAGGAACAAAATAATACACACAGAAGTTATTTTTTGAAAAATTTATTTGAAAACCCAAATGTTTCTGTACTCAAATGAAATTCGCTTATTCCAGCGTTATGTGCCCGTTTAAACTCAACTAAAATTTTTAATCGATGCGATGAAAACTTCACAACAAAGCTGTCTCGAATTTGAGCGTGTTTCCTAAAATATTTGCTTGAATTTAGCATCAGCTTGACCAAAAAGTCAATAACACAATGCTAATTGATAATTTTCCTTTCCAAACAGACTTTCTCTTCTATAAAAAACACACAAAATGTACCTTAAATCTTCGCTCGCTCGATTTTCCTTCAGCAGATTCTAGCCGCGAGGAAAACAGTGATTCATTCATCCAGGGCAAATTTGTCGCTTGATCTTTTGTCTTTTTTCCTTCAAAACGACAGCTTAGTATTTTCTTCAACTTCCACTTTTCATCTGTGCATTTCATCGGTGTATTTTACCGTCAGGAGAGGAGATTTGTTGAATTTGCCTAAATTTTACCGCGCTAGCTCAGTTTCTTAGCGTGCACCCACGGGAAACTGGTAGTGGCTGACTGACCAATCAGAGCGCGCGATTTAGTTTTGTTATGTTATAAAGACGCATGGTGAATTGTCGCCTTTCTCTTAAATTGTATAAGCAAAACTGACGCGATAGATACATCTGCATTTTATATCCTCTTATCTGTTTTTACAGAGTGACTGTGCGGGCCAACTGTCCCATGGATTTACGACTTTTTCCTTTTGATAAGCAGCAGTGCAATTTGAACATCGAGAGCTGTAAGTTATTTAAAATATGGAATTTATGAAGGCATTACTCAAAGTTCGCGCGTCAGTGATTATCACTAGAATTTGTGGCAATTGGCTGAGTTTTTATTTTTTATTTGTCTCTACTTTTCAGATGGCTATAACGCTGAAAATATGCAGTATAGATGGGAAAATCGAACCGACAAAGGCGTGGCGGTAAATGAAAAACTGGATGATATGCCACAATACAACTTAACAGGCGCAACAACAACTAGTTATTTTACAGGTTATTATTCAGGTGGGTGCATCGCAGACAAAAGTCCTTTAGGAAATATGTGTCTAGATCTTGTTTGACAGATTTAAGTGCCTTTGGTTATGGACTTCCTTTCAACATAAAAATAATTTATAATTCGTATTTAAAGCAAACTCTTTTATGGATTACAATTCGTTCGTAATTATCAATTATTGGATGAGGCTTAGTATGATACGAAGAATTATGTAGCTCGACGAGGCAGTTATCCACCTTAGTCCCTATTTGGTTTTTGCTGTTCTTGCTATGGTTCTCAGCAGTTCGGCTATTTCTTCTTCGCCAAACGTGTGAAAGTTTCTGTCATTTTCTAACTGAAGCAACCGAGCCAACGACGGCGATTACCGTTCTTTTACTGGTTGTAGCCTGTGCTGTTGATGAAATTTTACTGGATGTTTCAAACTTCTTCCAAATTTGGTCAACGCTAGCTGATGTTGAAGAATTACCCAGGGGATTTAAGCCAATCAGAAACCGAGAAATATTTTGAATGGATAATATAATTCTTAGTAAACTGTGTCTTCATTGTCTTAAAATTAAATAAACTGCTAGTTTTCAGCCTCTTCTCTTTCTTTTTAGGAAACTGGTCGCGTCTCTCCTCGTCATTTAACTTCACAAGAAGAGCTGGCTATTTTCTTATTCATATTTATGCACCGTGTGCATTAATTGTGATATTATCGTGGATATCGTTTTGCATTCCCCCTGATGCTACTGCAGCCCGGATAGCTCTCGGGATAACTTCAGTTTTGACGATAACCACTATATTAAATATGTTGAATACAACGATGCCAAAGGTATGGACTGGTAATAAATTCACATATTCTCTATCAGGAACAGGGTCACAACAGATAGTTGCTATCTTATATTATGTTATATCGTCATGCCTAATATCTTCTCTAGTCTTGCCTTGACTTATGTTATCGGGCTTATTTTATCTTATCTTATCATACCTTGCGTACTGGTTTGGACCTGCAAATGTAAGCTATTTCCAGATTTACTCAGTTCCTTACCTCTATATTTGGCTTCAAAACTGAATTGGAACTGCTAGAAATGTGAAATGTATGTGAATTCAAAAAATCTTTTACTCAAATCATTTCTTTCGTTTCATTTCAGGTATCGTACGTCAAGGCAATAGACTGGTATCTAATTGGTAGCTTTCTGTTTGTTTTCTGCGTACTAGTGGAGTACACTTTTGTTCTCTATGTTGTCAATGTTCATAATAAACGGTTAAAAAAGATTATGGATCTCCGACAGATAGAAGAAGCGGTAAGTAACGAAACAAATGAAACTTTATGCAGAGAACATTTCTTGTTGTGCACAGATTGAAGTGCTCATCTGTATTTTGAATATGTCTTAAAAATAGGAAGAAGAGTCATTAAAAAACAACTCGCGGAAATCAGCTATGAATGGTAGTATACCCCACAAGGGTAATCCAGATTACGATCACTACGATCCACTGGAGGTACTGTACATGTATATGAAAGTTATTGTAATTATAAATAGTCTTCACGGCTCATAAGGTCAATCCAAATGGGTTTTTACGGGAACGTTAATTGCCTTGAATTCAGTGTATTGCAGCACTCAAGTGCTACCAGGCTCTGGGCGGAGCCTGGGCAAGTTAATTACTTGGTAATTTTAATTAAAATTTCGTTCCACTACTGGAGAAATCCAACTGAAATGATCGGTGCTGATAACTTAGTACAAAAGTATGTAATACAATATCTTAGTTGAGGAAGATGCTCAAATTGTGAAAATAATGATCTTTCTGCGGTGGGTAACTCCTACCGATGCCACAGCATCCCTGTCCCTAGCCCCCAACCATGAATTTCACAGCCGGGCTTGATTGCAGATTTTGATTTGCAGATTTTTGGGGTAGGGAAGTGATTTTAGCACATTTTACCTGATTCTAGTTGATTGCTCTCAGTCCAAGGACCATTTCACTGACCACGACTATTGCTTTCAAATTTGCAACTATTTCTTGTTTTGAAATTGTCTCATAGAATTTATGCATTAATACATGTTTCTGATAATCCACTAGAGTTACAGTGCATTCGCTGACAAGTCAAAGAAAGCGACTACTCATCTCTGTGAGCGATCAAGGGCTAAACGACACCGTTCATCCAGTGACATCGAACACAGGCCACTCACCTATCCCAGAACTCCACAGTGCAGTGTAAAGAGGACCTGTCTTCATTTCATTGACCCTGATTGTGTTGATGATTACGCCAGAGTTCTCTTTCCGATTTGTTTTGCGCTGTTTAACATCATATATTGGTTACGTTTTAAGTTTCTGTGAGGCAAAATGCGCAAAACCTTTGTTAGAGGTTCCTTATTTTTATACTACATAGTCAAAGTAAAGGCCTGTCGAGAGTCGGATTGTGAATCATCAACGGCTGGGATTCAAACGAGACACAACACAGTTGATGACAGCAAGATAACAACAAGCTAGAGAAGGTATCCATATATGAGACCATACCATAGAGAGAAAAAGGACTGGAGCACCTCAACAGTGTATACTACATACAAGAAATGTAAACAATCTTGAAACGCGGATCATGGAAGTTTCAAGACATTTAATAATATTAATCTTTCAGTCGTCGGCATCTATATGATCTTAAGTTTACGTAACAAACAATTAAGAAAAGAACATACTGATCGTGAGTTGGCAAGAGTATTGACGGATTTAATGAATGTGCTCGTACCATGGCTTGTATTACAGGTATCGCCGCACTCTAATTCCTCTTTTCATTCAAAGATTAAAAAAATTACTTCTCTCTAAGAGAACTATGTAGTTTTCGTATTGAATGAAAACTAAACTACCGAGTATGGCGTGTATTAAATGGCAAACAAAAACCGCCTGAACTCGAGTTTAAGAAATACTCGGTTGTATATAAGCAAACTTTACTCCAAAGTTTGGTAAAAGTGGGGCGGGGGAGTGAGGTAAGGGGCTGGTGGTTGGTGGTTAAAGTGTGATCGTAATTTAAGAACATGAAATGATGATTTTAGAATAAAATACAATGTTACTGGGAACTTGTGACGTCACTATTAATGGCCGCCATCTTGGATTTAAATGAAGATTCAGATTTATTCCCCCACTAATGGCCGCATGGGGTCTCTTTGTTAATATAGAATTTTAAAATTTCTTCTCGTGTTAAACTACTTCGTTATTATAACGCGATCAAAATTTAAAAACTTTTTCACAAACTGAATTTAGATTTTCCTAAGATTTACGTCAACTAGCCCGTTATTGTCTTTTCCAAATATGCAATGCTTTATAAACAATGATTATTATACTGGGCCGAGTTGTTCGAAGCTGGGTTAAGATAACCCAGGGTTAGTGCGAGATTTGAATTCAGATTTGAAAGCTTAAAAACATTTCAGTTTTAATTCTTTTTGTCTACAGGTTGATGATTGGAAGCTCTAAAACTAGCAGAGAAAATTATCCGAGAAAATGCTTTTGAACACAAGAAGAAGAAACCCGGTTTAAATTTAACCCCGGGTTAAGCGCTAATCGGCTTTCGAACAACTGGGCCCTGAATGCCAATGCGGTATTTAGTGAGGAAGGAATATGCCATTCGCCTGTGCCTGGGTTCGACAACGGTTTTTATACCTATATTCACACTATACCGGATCATGCTTTTCGTACCGACAGGAAATGTTATTCGTGTAGTATGAACAGTTATGGGAAATGTGACCCTCCAATTGACAGCTCGGCGCGGCCTATTTCCCTTTCGTAAACGGTTTGCCATTTTCAACGGTTGATGGCACCATTGGGCTAAGGGTCATGAGGTAAGCAACGTCCTCCTCCAAATTATATGAAAAAAGAAAGTTTTGGAAACATTTTATTATAACATTTGATATGTTTAATGTTTAATAAATAATAAAACAAACTAAATATAACCAGGCCAATGGACAGTAACATTGACCCAGGGCCGGCCCTACCACGGGTAGGATGGTGGCGTTCAGATGTGACTAAAACTGTTCTGCACACGCGCACTTAGGTAAACTTCTGACACTTGCATCAAATAGAAAAGGCACGATGGCTGTACAAAGGACTTTATCATTATAGCTTCTATCTACACGTATTACACTCGTAAAACTCATTAGTATGGCCATGCGCATTAAGCTTCTACCTACACGTATTACACTAGTAAAACTCATTAACATGGCCATGCGCATTAAGCTTCTATTTATTTTTTTCTCTCGGCGCTTCGCGCCTCGTTGACGTGACTTCGCCGCGAACGATCAGTATCGATAAGGAAAAAATATCCTCTAGAACCCAGGGTACTACCCACACGTATTACACTCGTAAAACTCATTAGGATGGCCATGCGCATTAAGAACCTCGGACTTTGTAGTTTGGACTCCAGTTCGCGAGTTCAAGTGGCGTTATGGCGATTTAATTATGCTCATACATGTTTGCTCCGGGAAGTGGAAACCGGAGAGGGGCGGTACCTTTTCGAAAAAGAAAACGACTTATTAAGAGGAAATTCTCCTCAGTCCCCCCTCTTTTTAGCTGCAAGTCAGCGCGCCCTCTTCTTCTTTATGTTCCACCGTCCATGTTATGCTTATGGCTGTGTCATTTACTTGTTCATTGTTTTCTACGACAGTAAGAGTGCTAGTTAGGCCCATGATGTGATCTTCCCTAGCCAATGAGACCCAAACAGGAAAGATTGAAGTTTATTTTGTGGATTGTTATGTTTTTCAATGGGTGGACAGTCTACATAATGGAAAAGTAAATTCGTTTGCACCTGTCAGGAAAACCAATTTTCTTTCCACAGTTCAAATCATGTGCGGAATCAACACTATGGATGTTCATAAGCGACAATTGCCGTTCGTATAGAAAGGGGGAAAGATGAAAAAATAACAGAAAAAAGGAACGTTTGACAGTAGAGTAGTAGGTTTGTATTTTTTTCATTCTAAATTGATCATGAATCATCTGGTTAAAATCATTTAAGCTAATGCCTTACTACTGCACAAATAAGAAAGCTAAAAATGAAGCTCTTATTTTCTTCCAGGACCACTGTTACATATTGTCCTTTGAGGAAGAAACTGTGTACGGTGAGGGTTTTTTTTTTCTGCAGATATCTTTTATGCCTAGAGAAAACGTGACAATAGGATCAGTTTTTCAGTTCGCTTATTAATGAGTACAGTAGTAAAGCCAATTGTTTTGTCTTTTTTGGCTGACTCGCTTTTAGACTCCCTTATCCTCGAAAGAAACATATACTGCCATAGTGAAGGTTTGAAACATCATACAATTACTTTGAAATGAAAAGGTTGTGTGAAAAGTAATTTCAGGTCACATCAGCACGAGTCTTTTCTTTTTCTATTTGCAAAAATCTGAATTTCTCAACTATTCACGTTCCATCTGAATTGTAAATATCATCCCTGGGGATTAATTAAAGATATGCAAATAAGTATATATAATAGGAAACACTGGCATGCATTTTCCCATTCACTTCACTTTGTCCGACACGAAGGTGATTGGCGACCCACCCGCCCTCCCCAGCGAGTAAGTCGGGTTCCAGATTACCTAGTCTATTCAATTCAGTCTGTCTTGGGCTTGCAATTGTTCCAGGTCAGATTGATTCCCCATACCTTATTATAATATCATGAATTAGAATACCCAGGGATGAATATTATGCTCTACATCGGTCATCATACCTTGAACGCCAACATGGGCAGAATTTTACTACCTATAACTTCTTTTAATACTTTTTCCACTTAATTGATTGTTCAACGGTTGAGTTCTGGGAGTTCCTAAAGGGTTGATTAGAACTTATTACAATTACTTTTTATTGTGACCAACTATGACTAGCAATGAACAGTAGTTCACTTAAATTGTTCTTGGATTTGAACTTGGATTTGTTTAGGGTTGTGTTCATGATAAATAAGTTTGCTATGCCTCTTTATCTGAACCGTGGTACATAACTACTTATTTGACTAGAAAGTCCTGGCGTGTGCTTACCATTTACTCAAACCACCCGGGTGGAAATCTTGTGTATAAACATAAAACTGTAAAATTTGACTTGGTGGGGGAACGACCCGCCACAAATGACTATCCAAATCAGCTGAACAGACTAAGAAGAGTAGAAAAATTCATCGCCTGAAACCACCGTCCATATTTTCTGAAGCTTTCCAAACGGGATGGCGCGAACTATTTAATTTTTCAGCCGGAATTTCCGGTTTTTCCATGTAAATGGTAAGCACCCCTGCAGATCAGTAGGACGAGATTCAAAGCTTACGTTGTAGAATTAGAATATTGGTAAAGGTTAAGCTGCAAACAATAATTATATTGATTCAAATCTAACATGGAAAGCACATATCAACCATATTGCCACCAAAATAGCAAAAACAATCGGTATTTTACTTAAAGCCAGACACTACCTTCCTTCCCAGACACTAAGAACTATATATTATTCATTAATCTACCCATATCTTAATTATGGAAATATAATATGGGGGAATGCATATTCCTCGAGGTTAGAATCAATAAGAAAACGACAAACAAGATTATCAGGGTTACTTCATGTTCAGATTTCAGAATACTCGGCCACTTTTTAAAAACCTGTCTGTTTTACCAATTGATGACTTGAACAACGAAGCTATAGCATTATTTGCTTTTAAGTTTTTTCAAAAACACTTCCTACCATATTTAACCATTTTTTCAAGTCAAAACAGAACAGGCACTCACAAATTACAAAAGAATATTCTATAAAATTTAAAGGATGTGAAATTTGGAGCAACCTTCCCATATTCATAAAAAAACTCGAAATCAGTATGTATTTTTAAACTAAACCCTTTGATATTTTTCTCATCAAAATGAGTTCAAACCGTACACGTGTGGATTACGTATGTGTTAATTATTTTATCTTTTTCCAAAAGGGTTTGTCGAGAGTGCCTGTTCTACTGTATCTTATCTTACGGTCCGTGAATGAATCTGTGTAAACACAGGGCCGGCCAGGGTTTTGGGTATACTGTATATCGTGGTATTTAATTTTAGGTATACAGTATTCTTATGGATTGCTTAAAATTGAGCAAAAAAATTGGTATTCACCCACGACTAATTTTGGGTATAAAGTGTATCATGGTTTTCTTAATTTTCGTACTTTACACGATTTTTAGTATAATTTCTGGTATATTGGAAGGTTTATTTCAGCTATTTTGGTATTCCACTACCCCAACTGACTGACCCTGTAAACAGACTTTGTTGTAAAGCGAAAATAAAAACTTTGAAACTTTGAAGGTTTTGAATAAAAAGCACGCCGGCAGAAGCTGGTAATCTCTTCTGGTTTGCACGCCCTTAGGAAATCAACTGAACCGCACGTCTGAACCTGTAAACAAGTAAATCGGGTTTCTGCTGGTCGAACGCATTCTCTCGTACTCAAAATCCTGCGATCAACATTATCTTATATTAATGGATTTGGTGAATAGGTGGGTCACATGATAAATCATAGAATTGCATCCAAATTGCCTATAAACCAGACCTGTGGTAAAGCCTGCAGTGATTTCTAAAGCTGTTGGGTAAATCGCCCTGCACGAAAGATTAAATATCTTATAAAGAAGCCTTCCTTTAATTGTTTTGTGTTTCGACTGTGCTTTTATGAACTTTCTCGGCATTATGACATGTATTTTCCCCCTGAGGTCAGGGAATTAAGTGCAAGTCATTACGTTTTTATTTTTCAGCGGTTCCTACATATTTTCAAACAGAAGATATTTTGGTCATCATTTCTTCATATGTCAAACCAACTACATTTTGCTTTTGACAGACTACGTACAGGAAAAAAGGGTAATAAGCGAAACTAAATAAATGCATGGAAATTATTGAAGTTTTAAAGCAACAATGGCTGAAGCCGAGACTTGGGAAAGAGAAAATATGTCCGATATAGTGGAACTTGTTAATGATGTAGGTTTTACATACTTTTATTTCATTAGTGATCTTACATCGTAGCATGCAATGGTCGAAATTATTGCACTGAAGTACAACGACTCACATATAGTTTTGCGCAGAAAATCTAAATGGTGTTCAGTTGCTTTCTTGTACAAGATTACTGTTATATAAGTGGATAAACTTTGTGCTGCAATTTTTACATGTAATGCTCATCAGATAATGTCTCTCACAAGTCACCTTTTGGGGAAGATCGGTTTATATTCAGCTGCCAAAAGGGTTCTTTAGTTCTTTCATTTATTTCTTTTTCTTTTATGGGGACCCCATGTTTAGTGAAGGCCTTAAGTCAGTCACAATTCATTGCTAGCGAAAGTTATCACATGACAAGTTTGCCAAAATTAAGGCTGTACGAAAAGCAATTTCAAGTTGTTTACACCACTGCAATTCCTCTGTTAAAAGAAGCTCTGATATTTTTTCCGTCTTTTTACTAATGAGGAGTAATCATAATGCAAATACTAACATCTTGTGAGTTTCTTATTTACTAATAACTTACCACAGTGCGTTTTGCACCTGATTGCTCACTGTATGATACCATACACTGCATGACCAGTAGTTTATGCATTTAATAAAAGTTTTTTTTGTGGGGATTCTGGGTTTGATTATAGTTTATTTACATTCAGCGCTTTTGAAGTGACTAGTAGTGATGCACAGCACGTCGCATCTGCACGATATTTTTTCGTTTTTCGAAATCAACCTATACTACAGATAGTGGTTCTGATGCATTTGGATTGTCCTTCCGCCGAATACTAAATGATCTTTGCAGACGTACTCTTGTTCTCTTGTTTTAACTCAACAGCAGTAGAACTGGTCCAGAATTGGATGGACAGAAGAGCAAACTGGAAACAATAATTTTTACAGTATGCTTATTTTAATCCTTGTCGTACAACTTTTTTGCCTCGTTTTAATTCCTTAGAAACGTTTTGCCAAAATTTGATGTGATTCGGTTACTAATGATTACAAGTTATGACGTCATGACAGTTAAGATCTTAAGAAAGAGAAACGGCGTTTAGTTACCGCATTATTTGAATAAAATCCCCAGTAAATTAAGTAAAATCCAAGATGGCGGCCAAGATGCTTTTGATGACGTCATAACAAGTCCTAACAGCACCACACCACAAGTAATATAATATGCCAAGTTCTCTCCTGAAAACGTCGATCACGTTGTAAAGTTATAACAGGATTATCATACTCTTTTTAACAGCTACCATAAAATCAGCTTAAACATTAAATTCTCTTTGCAACATCTTACTTAGGCTGGGCATCATCCCGAGCCGTCCTAACAAAATCTTTCCACACGACCTGGTCGAGTAACAAAAGATGACAAAATTTACATAAAAAATTTATCTGTCGTTTACAATATGCAGAGACAGCTACGGATAAATCTGAAATATGGTAACGTTTTTGGAATCAGTTCTGTGTGGAATTATCTACGCGTCTTTCGTCTCAGAAAATATTGCGAGGTAAGGACCTTATAATCCAGCTGATATTAACTATGTCTTATTTAAAAAAAAAAAAAAAAGATTCACGTCGCATCTTCTCTTTCAGTTCGCCTTTTCAAAGGGAAGAAAGTTTCTATAAAAATGGCACACATTTAAAATGTAAAACACAGAGTGACAAAGAGCCAGAAACCAAAGAAAATGCCTTCTCCCAGAACTCATGAAAATAGCAGATAAATCCTGAATTAAATGAATCTGAAAGAATATGACACTCTTTGCAACGTTTATCTGCAACAGGCCAAAGAAGTCTGTTCATAATTTATCGCATGGCGATACACTCCTGAATTGTGCCTACACGTGTTTTCTTGTAGCCAACAATGCTATTACACACATCTAAATTAAAGTTCCCTTACGTTAGGTCGAACATGTAATTTTGCAGCAAATCAACAGGCTACTTTAATCTCTTACTAGCACCATAGAAGAAAAGAGCAGAGCAAGGTCTCAGCTTCTAAACAGGTTACTAGACAGACAAATGTACGATCCCCGGCTCCGTCCTGGCTTTGGCGGTAAGGAACCATTTCGTTTATTTTCATGCATCACGTTTTTTCTATAATTCCCTACCTTACACATTCTCATTGTTAGGGATAACGTTTTGCGCAGGATTAATCTGCCATAACTTCGAATTATTTAAAGGCCTTATTTAACAACTATTTTATAATTTAGATTTTGTTGGAAATGAAAACGAAACACCGTTATTTCAGACAATTAAACGAAGATTTAACGAAATGTACGACTTTATTAGCTCTCAATCTCTGCAGATTTGGTGCTTTCTGTTTGATTTCTATTGTCCCTTTTTAAAGCCCCAATAGACTCTATAGGCAACATACAAATTCCCTAGACCGATCTCCGTACATTACCTTAGGGCCCGTTTACATAGAGGTGGGGAACCCCAGATGGGTGGGTCACCCCACCTATCATGTAAATATGATCAAATTACTATGAGAGAATATATGAACAGCCGGGTTACCCCACCTAAGCGGGTTACCTCACCTACCTGGGGTCCCCCACCTCTATGTAAACAGGCCCTTAAAGAATTAGTTGAGAGAATATGCTTAAAGGTCAAAGCATTTCCCTCAAGGGATAATCTTATTAATTCTCATACAGTCTAACCTCTCCTTACGGACACCTCTCTATTACGGACAGTTCGTTTGGTCCCAGAAAAATGCCAGAAATCATGCATTCTCTACCTCTATAGTACGGACACCTCTGTAAAGCGCGGACACTTGGTTCTGTCCCTTTGGTGTCCGTATTAAAGAGGTGTGACTGTCATGCAATTTTTCTGATAAGGCATTGACATTGTTAGGAGAAAATAGGTGTTGGTCACTCTTTTAAAACATGAAATTCTTACTCTGCAGGTGGCCCGGTGATAGTGACAGTTGGATTTTGGATTCTTTCTATCGACAAGATTGATGTTGTCAACATGGTGTTAATGAAACAATAATTTTCTGAATATCAGTTAGAACTAGATATTTAATGCCTAGACGTGAGGGTTATTTTCACTTCTCGAGAATTTTGCTTTCGTCTGCTCCGTCTCGGGAAGCATTAGAATCTGAGGGAGGAACAATTAACTAGTCTCCTGAGTTAGGGACCCTCAGTTAGTGATTTGTTAAATAGCCCCCAAAGAAAAACGCTAGGTGTACAAATTTATGAATGTTTATCTCTCTCGGGCTCCTGCGAGCGGACAACATTTGCGTGTAAAACCAGTGGACTGTTACCCTCTGACGTCACATTTAGTGTTCCTGTTGCCTCATGCTCGGAGAATTTTTGCGCGAAACCGTTTTATTGTTGGATGACACGTGACCTCCAAGTGACCAATGAGAGTGCGTATTGCAGGAGAAAAAAATCCAGGGCCCAGTTGTTCGAAAGATGGATAGCACTATCCGCCTGGTAAATCTCTATCCAGTGGATAGTGCAATTGGTTTCCCGAATACTTATCCGCTGGATAGAGATTTATCCGATGGAGCAAAAAATTGAAATTATTTGAGTTAGTAATCATCTTTTAATTTTCAAGGATTTTACGATCGACATATTGCTCCGACAAGAGTGGATCGATAGAAGACTTTGTCATAGACTCAATCAAACTATTACACTGAACGGCGGAGCTAGAAAAACTAAGATCTGGATACCGGATTCTTATTTCCTCAACGCCAAAGCCGCCAAAATGCACAAAGTTACAGCGCCAAATGTGATGTTCATGATAGAGCCGTCTGGGAACATAAAATACAACGCAAGGTAACCACAAATGGAAACTTATAACACAACGATGACGAAACGAAAGAGATCTATACAAGCCTTATTGACCAAGCTTGTTCTGTAAAGATGGCTAAATATGGCCGTCTTTTTTTCTTGCGTTTTTAAGGGCCGAGACGAAGACAAGGTCTATAAATAAGACAAAAAAACGGCAATTTCAATATCCAGGTATCTTTAGCTTGATCAATGAAGGGTTTTTATATGTGGCCAATAGAATTTTTTCGCCTGCGGCGGGGATCAGAGCGGCAATACCGAGCGGGAAAGATAGGGTTACCAATAAAAAAAAAGGATTCACCCCATCTTACCCGCTCGGAGAAGATATGACACATGGTTTTTTTAGTCGATGTAAGTAGTCTCGTAAGTTTCTTCTAACCCTAATTTCAATAAAGTTCAATAAACCTTGTGTCCTGTGTCGTCTGTGTAAGAACCGCTCACTAAAACACACCGCCGCCACCTCCTAAAGGTAAACATTAACAAGAAGAACACAAAAAATCGTTCGGAATCAGGGAAATTTTGCTTGTAGAATCCGGAATCCAAGTTCCGCTGACGAGGAATAACCACTCGAGTACCTTGAATCCAATATCCACAGTGTGGAATCCAGAATCCAAGACTGTCCTGGATTATCTTACACAGGGCGACCCAGAACGTTAGGAACTGAATATACTTCTTACTAGTATAGGTACAATTATTCCGTTCAGGTAACTTAGTTATATATACACTATGTTAAGGTTCTTAAATTGCGTTAGTAATACATATCTGTGATTAACATCTCTACAGGGTAACCATCAAAGCAGCTTGCCAGTTTGACTTAAGGAAGTTTCCAATCGATATCCAGGTCTGCCCACTTATCCTGGAAAGTTGTAAGTTTCATTGTAGGATGCATCTCCTTCCTTTACTGGCATTTGTTGTAACAATCTTCTCCGACCTACAAATAGACATCATAAAGCATACCTAGACCTCATAATCACTTAGCCAAATTTTAAAACCCGCGTTAGGCTTAGTTTACAAATCAGTTCCACACAAGCATAAGCCCAAGCAAATCACAAATATCTAGATCTCAAAGATAATAACGTGATTGTGACAAAACCTGTACATGTATATAGGGCCGTATCGAGTTCTTAGCCTATTCTCTAAATTTCCTTCCACATAATCAGTAGCCCCCATTTTCTGCAAAGATGCTAATTACTAAATGGAAGCGGTACCCTCTAATGTTATTTGCTGTTTTCCAAGATGGTTACGATAATCAGCGCATCAGATATAAATGGGAAGTTTCGAAAACAGGCGGCAAAAAGTCCTCATCATCTGATATCCGTGCGACGTCAAACTACGTTTTGAAAAAGACTGAGTTTTTTACGAATATGAACCAGTATTTTTCAGGTAAGATCGGGCAGAGTTAAAATTAAGTTACTTGTTTAAATTTTGCTCGGATCGTCATCCCCGTGTGAATTATAAGACATTGCTGGTCCCATCTGAGTCTGAATGTCCAGGACTAACTTCTCCAGAATGCCGATCAAGTTATGTCTCTCAGTCTTCTTCATGCCAGCACTACCCCCCCTCCATGGTGTTTTCTAGTTGTTTTTTAGAGCGCTTTCTGGTCGCGCTTTCTCTTTCTTTTGTCTTACACAAATTCCATCTCTGATTTCCTGCTTCGTGATGATCCTGGCCATATTTATTCAATGCATGAACTGAGTTGAAGTCTCAGTTTAGAAAGAAAAATACAGTAATTCCAACAAATAGCATCCACATATGGCCGCACCATAAGCACGGTTTATAGAATGAGGTGATACTGGGCGGTTTATCAACTTGACATCACAGTTATTTTAGTTTTGATTTTCCAAGCACACGAGGAACAACTTAAAAATGTATATACAGCCATGAAAGTTTCTTTTCTGGCCACTAGTTTCCAAAGTGTAACACGCATTTTTATATTCAGGGGATCAATTTAAGTGAGTCTGAGAAACTGCCCACCTACCCCTCCCCTAAGCTAACATATTGCCCTGAGTGTGAAGTAAGTGTTAATGTTAGCTTAGGGGAGGGGTAGGTGGGCTTCCTAGGAACCTAAATTGATCCCAATTTTGTACTGGTAACAAACCCCAACTTTTTCTTCCACCACGCATACGCAATTTTTTTTTAGAGCAAGGCCGTTTGAAGGTTTCCATTTTCGAACCGTTGTTTCTCCCAGGTAATTTCTCCGGAGTTCGAGCAGAATTTACATTTGAGCGTTCCTGTAGCTACTTCGAAATGTACGGCATGAGTGTTGTTCTTGTCGCCATATCGTGGATGGGATTTCTGGTACCTTTGGACCAAACAGCTGCTCGTATTGCCTTGGGTATTACATCGGTTCTTACGGAGGTTGCTATTCTAAATATTATGAACAACGCTATGCCAAAGGTATGTGATCATTTAAACGAATCGAACACGACAAGTCCATTGCCTATACAATGTTCAAAGTTCAAGCTCAGCTGAGTGGTCAGTTTCACTGGAAATTTTTTCAACAGTTGACTTCTTCCGAAAAATTGTGCTTGCTGAACGGACTGCGTCGTTTCCAGTGTCTTTACTCTCACATACTAATCTCGACGAATGAGCTCATGAGAAAGCTATAGCTCTCGACCAATTATATGTCTTATATGTTAACGCTCGAGAAATCGATCACTCTTAAAGGCTATAACTCTAGAACAGCCTGGCTCTAGACCAATGACAACTCGATTAAACGATTACTCTTAAAGGCTATCTGCTCGCGACTAACGAGCGAGCGAGAAATCAATCAGTTATTGTAGAATTGACAAATATTCTGTTTGAATGTTACTGTTAGAGTAAAAAGTAAGTAACACTATCGTCTACGAAAAATTCTTTGTTAATAATTTTTGGATTTCTTAAATATCACCAGGTTAGTTATATCAAATCCAGTGATGAATACCTGATTGGCTGTTTGGTATTTGTGTTTTTCACACTTATGGAGTACTGTTTTGTTCTGCTGTTGAAAGTTAGACAGAAGAATCATAAAGCATCTGAAACCTTCAAGGCACAAACGGTAAGGTACAGTGCAAACTAAGCCTTTCCGCTCAGTTGTTCATAATTTACATGAGAGTATAGGGGAAGAGAGCGAATCCCTGTGCCCCATGATAATTTTTTGAGATCTATTTTAGTTCGCGCCTATGCTAGGTAGGTAATTCACGTGAATTAGACATGCTTCGCCCTACGGCGCGCAGATCTGGAAAACTGAATTGATTAGTGGTAGAGAGGCAAATTGTGCAACGGAAGTCGCCTCCAGACCTCTCCGTGTGCTTTCGCGTTCTCATATGCGGTATCAGCAAACTTTCGGATTAACCCTGCCCTCTTTGTTCTTTACAGAAAAATAGAAAAATTGCTCTCTTCCAAATTGATAAGAGGAACGAAATGGCAGCCATAGAGAATGAAAGCAAATTCCAGCCTCTTACTTCGCTACGGGCGTCAACGAACAACTCTGAACCCGTACCACCTGCGGCAGACACTGGCAAACAACTGACATGGATGGAAAAGTATTTCCTAAATGCCAGAGAAATGATTCTGGGAGAAGATTTTATGTTGAATGTTGATGGATATTCCTTCAAGATATTCCCAGTTGCTTTCGCTTTGTACAATGTTTATTATTGGGTGGAATTGTCTTGGTAAAATGTATCTCTTCGCTTAGATGGGTAGTATTTAGCTTGCCTAAATATACGTTTTTTCTAGTTCGAGCCAAAGTCTGACATTAAATATATAATCAGTCTAAATGCATTGCTTAACATATGATGATTTTGGTGCGGTATGAAATTTAAATCAGGGAGTTTAGGCGGCCATGTCTGCACTAGCTTTCTGGGGGTTTGTTACCCGGCATATGAGCTTGAGCAGGACTTGAAAAGATATTACTTCCTTAAGATCATTTAATGTGGCTGGGGAAGTTAATTTTTCTGCATTTATATACAAACACAAATGGAGTAATGACTTGAACATGAGACTACCCGAACACTGACTTGTGATAGAACGGTGACGCAGGCCTAACAGAGGCAGGGCCCAAGTGTTCCATGTAAGGGTCACTGCATGATATGGAGCCTCACGGTATAGTTTAGACTATTCGGTCTTTCTTAAGTGTATTTCGAAGCAGATCAACCCCGCTTTACTAATCCTTTCGTGGTGTTTTCGTTTATCTAGCTCACATTTAAATTAATCTTATTTTCGTTGGTGCTTTTTCCGAAAAAAGATCTTTTTCTGTTAAATGCACTTCACTATGCACTTGTCTTTGTCACAACTGCGTTAAACATTGGAGCTTAAAAACATGAGTGAAAACACTGCTGACAGCACCTTGAAGTCAAAGAAAAGACAGCTATTTTTGTTACTTTACCCAATGTTTTTAAATCAATACAATCTGGTGTACCAGTACCATTGCAAAATTTGACCAGTCAGCTTGAATCGAACAACAGTGCAAGGCTCAACTTAATCGCCCAGCTGTGAACGGTTATTGAGTTTGGCGTATACAACTTTATAGTAATGCCTATACATAAACACAATATCAATCTGCCTTTGGACTAAAAATTGTCAATGCACTCTATCCATTGTCATTTTCCATTTTTTGTCGATAATTATTCCCTTGTGGCAAATAACAATGAATGATGATGGTGAATGAATTACGTCAAATGTGAAAGGATTGTAGAGAACGCAATCCACTTAATCAACCCGACGATCCAAATTCACTCAGGCACAGCCGGACACTACAAGAGTAAAAGGTACGTTCGCTTCTAGCTGTTAGTTCTCGATCTCAGCATTCATTTTGCTTATGCTTTCGCAAATCGAACAGGTTTGAAATCACAAGTTAGTACAAGTTAAATAGAAGTTTCAAAACATCTGTATATGAATTTGTCAACATTCCAAACTCTAGATTCGATGTTAACAAGCCGTTTAAGCATCCGTCTTCTGGCTTAGAGTTCTAATTTGAAAAATGAAAGCAAACATTAGTCATAGGGTACACAGGGCGTTAAACTACACAGCCTATAAATATTTATCTTAATTGACGCATACATTTGGCTGGAACGTTAGTTATCCTGACTGGTACGTATCGTATTTTTGGGTTTGCGTGCTCACTAAACGCCCACTTTTTTGTCTTTTTGGTATATATACAAGATAAGATTTGCTTAGAAATGAACTGTAACTCTAAATAGTCAACGTTACATTAACTCTGTTTTGATTATCTCTAACATAACAACCAGACGTAAAGGTCCAGCTTAAACAAAAATAAACGCATCATGAAACTTTCTCATGATTGGTGGTTTTCGATCCAAAGCATTGCTGGCATTGCTAGAGGACGTACCTTTCCCCTCAGCGGTCCGCTGTGTTAGTAATCGGCTGCTATGTTGTCTGATCGTAGGCATCTACCCTTCTGGAATCTCAATTCCACTGTCCCTATTGATGCAGTTGTTACTGGGGTGAAGCCGTATTTGACTAGCCTCTTTACCCCTGGTATTTATCTATCAGCCTTTAGTTTTTGATACCAATATCATGGTATTGGTGTCACGATATGGAAATTTTAAGCCCAGACTGGTGACACTACCAAATCTTGCCTAAAAGTTACAGAATTTCAGGCCTATCCACAGCATTTAGTTTACCTTATCCGAGAGAGGATATCCTCTCTTGCCTTATCTCAATAATTAGTCCTAGCGGACCGGCCGTAGCGTCCTAGCAATCCTCAGCTGACCTTTTTGGTCACTTTTCAGCCCATATTTAAATGCGACATACATCAATCTAACAAAAAGATTCCATGTTGTCGTGCGTCTGTTCATTAATATATTACAGATGACGTCAAAATGTGGTAAAAACATCAGGGACACATTCGCCTGCAGCTCGTGTGCCACTTCTTTGTTTTTACGACATTTTGACGTTACTTGTGATCTATCACTGAACAAAATTTCAGAATGTCGTCCATGCGTCTGTACTCTGAAAGGTTATGGGCAACAACCAATCACAGCGCGCGTAACATTCACCACATTGTATAAAAATTAGATATTTTTTTGTTCTTTTCAATTGAAAAAATCTTATACAGCTGGCTTTTATTACATGAAATCAAACAGTAAAAAGTTACTTTCTTCTTTTCAAGCCCCCTTTTTAATGAAAGAAAATCATCTGGCAAATCTCTTGCGAACTGAATTGCCTTCACACTGTGTATGTCATTACCAACGTGCATGTGCAATCTTGAATTGTCTCTGGGCACTGACACTGGCCACTACTTGTCACAGCGTTCACTTTTTTACCAAATAATTCTGTTTTGTTTTTTACGAAACAAGAAATTTAATATCTTTCGAATCTTTCTCAAATCTTTCTTTATTTCACACTGACTGTTTAAGACATTTACACAAGTGTACGTAAGTAGGAGAACAAAATAGCTGATAAACAATCATTAAGCTAAAAGACATTAAGTTCATTTGTGAACAGTGTCCAAAGTAGCATAACGCAAAATATAAAATCTTGGTTTAATTGCGCGTGGGAAGCGAGTCGACCATCAATTAACTTGTCAGCTTGAGTGGGAAACATTTCAGTGAGAAAGTTACATTAAAACTTCTACCTTTCCTGCAAAAAACATCATTTCACTTTTAAAGCGTAAATGAAAGTATTGGTGTTGCTGAAAGAAGCAACGATCGAATCAATATCAGTAGACATTTTGATGTACGTGTCTGTTAATTTAGGAAGGTTTCTTCTGAATCATTAAAACCAATTTTGAAAGAATCGGTAGGAGTCAACCAGAAAGATGAATTCTTAGTATTGTCGTCTACCAATCGGCAGAGTGACATTAAACAATAATCCAGGGGATGAATGCAATTTTAAATGAAGATTTCGGCCGTTCCTGAACGTAAACGCGTTTACTTAGTCTTGGAAAATGTCTTGGTCCCGGCCCCACTCTCCCTTTGTTTCATCGTTGATCTTCAATTTTAGTATATATTCTCATTTTAGTTTTAAGAAAAATCATTTGAGCCAAAATTGAAACAAAGCCGCTACTGATTTATTTAATGCATCATGCAAGAACTTTTAAATTCAGTAGACGCCACGATTCTCGTTTGTTGCAGTACACGCAACAGCTTAATACGCGACTTTTGACGGATCAGATCAGGTAGGCAGATGTTTCGTGTTATACTAAGATTAAAATTTTAAAGGACTTCATGTGAATGATTGTCTTTCATGGATTTTTTCCTCATGTTATATATACGCTAGGTAACGATTTTTTTCTTTCGGAGGAAACGTCGTGTGAAAAAGATCTCTAATTTTTAGTGGCTGTAACACCTTGTTAGAAAATTATGCTTTACACAAATCCCTAAAGATATATTTCTCTCATCACTGATTTGTTTTATACGGCTGAAGACATTTAAACTGGCAGCTCACGATTCTTCGAAGAACCTAAAACATTTAGTGGGGTTATATTTGCAAATGGAGCTGAGTGCCGTTAAGATCATGGCGTGTGAGTGAGCAACTCAATACATCAAAGTTCTTTATCACACACACTTTTTTCCTGAAAGCTTGGGTCGCAGACAACTGAAGAAGCCAAATGTTGGAAGAGTATACCCAACAGCTACAGATCTTGGTACAGTCATATCGCTTATATTCTCCTTGGCATGCAGTGGCATGATAGGTGAGGCGACAAGATTTTCAAGTCTGGTAAGCTAGAAAGCACATCATAAACACAAGCGCTAATGATCATAACTCTGAGGCTTTCTTATAAGTAATAACCGAGCGCGTGGCGCGAGGTTATTACGTTTTAGAAGGCTGAGGCGGAGCGAGGGCATTATCCCATTTAATGTACCTTCGCTTTGTTTTTGAAGCCAACCAGCACGTCATTAAATCGGATTAAATGGAACAGTTGGTTATTATTGCAGGAGGGTTCCTGATAATTCTAGCTAATTCTTAACTGATAATAATCGGCCTCCTTTTGAAAACCCCGTTTAAACGACAACCTCGATCGTTGTACGACCGCGATGCTATGGCCCAATGGTGGTCGCGTTAACGGGTTAACGAAAGGCATGCATTTATTTAAGATAGAGCGATGGTGCTTCGCCTTATTATTAGGGAGTTTAAGAAGCGACGTTTTTGAGTGATTTACGTCAACTGGAAGTGAGCTTTTTTTCTCTTTTAATATGCCTTGATGTCACCAAATTTGTATTGCTAAGTGTCCTTACTCTTATAAAGACGATTTGCCCAAATATTTTTTTGAAAATGACGTGCGTCACTCCTGAAAAACGTCGTTCATTAAACTCCCTATTTAATAAACAAACACCACAGAAACCGTTTCTTTTCAGAGGATAAACTGCTTCTTCTCTCCTTCCTTTCCATTCCCATCCATCCTGCCTTTCTCTTCATAGTTCTCTTTAAATTCTTTTCATTTAGAAAAATGAAATAAATTTCGGGATTAGTTGTATATAGGTGCCAAAAATGATATTTTTCGGTCAGCACCCTAAACATCCAGCGTGTTAACTGAAATGTCCATTCTTTTAAACATTTCTCTCCTAACAAAAATCAACAATAAGTTATGTTTGATTAATGCACCCACAATTCTGTTACACCATTTTCGGCAACGACTTTGAAAGTGACGTCATCAAATTTCAATACAATATAAGAAATGTTTAATACTTTAAATAATACTTTAAAAAAGAAAAGGTTTAAAAACGATGGAAATTGGGCGTAACTTGTTTGGCATTACTCTGCAAACTCTCTTTTGGGCTTTAATTTTTTCTCTTCGGTCATCTTGTCTGAATGTAACAATAAAAATAATTGGACCGCACGCTTATGCTGTTATTGAAGTGAATGTAAACAATATTAAAGATAATCACTGTAACCCGCATTACTTTCTTTTTTGCTACACACGTTGATTTTTTAAAAAAGATTATGCCTTGTGTGATGAGCCACAAAATACACTTAAATAATTAGCTATGTATGTATTCGAAACGCGATATATCTCAATGAGGTCGGTAATAAGTCATTTACCTTAGCTGGATTTCAAATGAATCAATGAGGTAATGATGGAAGTTGTTTTTTTATTCAAATACTTTTAAAGAACTTATAGAAAATGCTGTAAGTTTGCAATCATTTCGTGAAGGACTAGTAACTTACGGGCCAGCGTTTATTCTGTTGATTTCTATTAGAAGTAACACGACATCTAACAGTCTTCCAATATAATCATGAGTGTCTGACTTCTACATCCAGCCCCAAGCGGCTAAAATCATGCTACAAAAACTCCCCATTCCCCTACACTATTGCAGGGCCTCAGCAGGTAGATGTTTCTACACCTTTGAAGAAACTAAGTTTTTGGTTTTGCAAGTTTCTAATTGTTCCTAAGAAAATTACACAAGCGTCTTTGTGTAGCTCTGATTTTCACAGCACGTACTCTCAAAATGTCTTTGAGTTGTCGATTCAAAACTAACAGGTACACTGGCCGATATTTTAATTTATAACACAAAGAAAATTGAAACTCACTGACTGTTGATGATACTTAACACCTGCTTAGATATTTGAGTTTGTCACCGCAAATTTCTAAATCAGTTTTAATTTTAGTCATGTTATGTAGAAATCCAATACTTATGACGAAATAGTTAACACCTCGTTGTTAGATTAAGAAAACAGCAAGCATTATGCAGGCTTAATAGTAACACCGTGAGATTCGATATAATAGCGTATATTTCTTTTATTTTTTTGTTAAAGCAAAAACTCTTGAGGTCTCACAAATGATCAATCATTAATCAGTAGAATTTAATTACAATGAAAGCAATTATCAACTCAAACATGAAACAATCATGGAATATTTTATTATGGGAAACAATTGAGCCTCTCATTCCATTTGTAGTTTATCAAGAGAAATATTCCTGCAAAAAAATTCAAGCCCTTATTTTAATTTTATCTATATTTTGAGGAAGCCGTCCAGGTCTATAACGTGTCCACAAGAGATCCGCCATAGCATTTTCATGAATCATTTAACAATCCCAAAACATTCTTAGGTCGAGCATAATGTTATTGGTGGAAGTATCCCTTCAGATTTAATGATAATGTGTTAAAACGGAAATACAACAAAGCCTTGTAGCCAAACTTTACATCACTCTTAACCCACAAGCTCTCAGGGATAAAATATTTTCTGGGTATCTGAAAACACAGGCTAATATCAAAATAGAAAGGAATATTTTTTTGTGACTTTAGGTTGACGAAGTAGAAAATGGTTTGGCGCGCTATGACAATTCTACTGGCAACATATTTTTGTTGCAGTAGCGCACATTCGAGGTAAGTTTAAATTTTAACATTGTAGGTAAGTCCTCAAAAATTACTTGATTTTTTAAAGAACTATGCCAATTCCGTAAAGAGTGTTTATACTATCAAACATCACGACAGTCGATATAACATTTGCACTATCCAATCTCACTTAGTCAAAACTTGCTTTCCTTTGGTTGTTGTTGTATTGGTGGTTTTCATTTTAAGTACACTTTCAAGGAACGAAAATAACGAGATAAAAATGGGCACAGATTTGGCTTTAAAGCGTCTGTACGTCATGTTATGTAGGCTAACTTGGGAGTCGTGGTGGTGGAACTTGTCCATCTTTGGACATCATCACTGTATGAAACCTGAAAACAAAACATAGACCAATAAATTTGTGTTTAACGCTAAGATCCATGCATGCTAAGAACAATACGTCACTATTCAGTGCAGCTCTGTCGAATTCTGCAGGTGACGGGAGAAAAAGGGAATAGTCATGGCTCTCCCACTTTCTCTGTAGATTATCTTAAAATATTGAGCATATGAAATTTGTAAGGGAGAAAGTCTTTGAAATACTTATAAACAGGAACAAACACCTCAGCCAACTCAACGTGTCACACAGTGAGTACTTTAATGAAGAATATTTAAGGGATCGAATAAACCCTAACTCTAGGTATTCGTTTCACAGAAGCACTGATCCAAAGATATGTACTACCTTCAGCCGTAAAGGCTAAAACGTAAATCGCATTTCTTCCACAGGGCTGTAGCATGGGGAGGGGCCGGGGAGCCGTGACCCCCACACCCCAGTTTTTTGCTTTGGTAACGAAGGAATGTGGCAACCCGACAAAAGCAAAATAACGAAATTTGCATGTAATTACATTAATTATATTAAAAACACCTTTCAATCTTGTATTCTAGTTCTGGATTATCCTAGCTTGTCATCATTATATTTTATTTTTCCATCATTTTCTTAGAAGGGAGGGCAACAAGACAGTTACGGAGGTTCTGGACAGTCTTTTAACGAAGGAACATTATGATTCAAGGCTAAGACCCAATTATGAAGGTAATATGCATATAATATGAGATCTCTGCTCTAAAAAAGTATGAATTCTCAGATTTTTCAATAATCATGCCCTTTACTCAAAATAATGGAACAGATCGTGTCACTTTTTGGCACACCAACCGAGTAACGAATGACAAAGTCATTGATTGAATGATTGATTAATTGATTGATTGACCGCGGCAGGATTAGCTCAGTCGGTAGAGCGCTTGACTGCAGAGCGGGAGGTCGCGGGTTCGATTCCCGGTCCCGTCCACAGTAGGAGACAAAAAAATAGTGTCCCAATTAGCACTTTCGTGCTAAATACATTGACACTCAAATAAAGTGCATTTTTTTTATTGATTGATTGATTGATTGATTGACAGGCGGGCCTGTTGAAGTAACAGTCGGCTTTTGGGTTCTCTCCATCGATGCAATAAATGTGGTTGATATGGTAGGTGTTTACTACCATTGAAAAATTAAGAGTTCTTTAAACAGTACATTTCTCTACTAACACTATGGAAATCCTGATCGCGGTAGCCTGCGTAGAAGGCGTCGAAAGGGATGGGGAGGGGGGGGAGAGAAAAAGGGAGAGGGGATGGGCCTGAGGGTCTCCGTCTCCTTTTTCCACACCATTTCCCTGGTTTTAGAACCTAAAAAACGAAACGATCGATGTGTCAAAAAATTAACATCCTGACGTCGATAACTACGAATTTCAACTGTTGTGACGTTAACTTATTCGTGTCTTATTTTAACTCACTTTTTATCATTTAATTTCATTTTCTACATAATGTTAAATCATTTTTAGATAACCAAAAATAATATTAACACAAAAAGAAAAAAAAAAAAGATTTTTGATCGACTCCAATAACTTAACAAGATGCTGGCGTTTATCCTAACAAATTGCGGCAATTTTGGCCGTTCGTTTTGTCCTTCGGGGGAAGAGGGGGGAAAGAGAAGGAGGGGGGGAGGGAGAACGTGGGCTGTTGCCCCAACAGCGGTGCCTACCTAAGGGAATTTGACATATTAACTAACGAGGATAATATAGTGATTTGAAAGTGTTCATTAAAAAAAAATTTCGACGAGAGAAAAAGTCGGGATAATCGAGTTTTGATTGTGCTTTTTGACTCTGCTCTTGCTGTTATAACAAGGACTTTTTGTTGGACATCTTCTTTCGACAAGAGTGGACAGACGAGCGGCTTGATCACGGGCTCAACAAGACCATGTTCCTTAGCAACACGGTAATGGATCGCATCTGGATGCCGGATACGTACTTTGTAAACGCCAAACATGGAAGCTTTCATAAAATCACTACTCACAATATTATGATTATGATCATGCCGGGAGGAATGGTCAAGTACAATGCAAGGTACATTTAATTAAAAAATTTCAATTAAATATTTTAGAATTCAAACTAGGCACTGATCTTGGGCCACTTTGAGAGGCAAGCCATATAACGAACCCAGTCAGGTTCTGGATGCAGATATCCAGAAGCTGAAGCAAAACTTAGTCTAGTTTTACCCACCTCTCTTTGTCACGTAACGATAGGACAACTTTCTTTGGCGCTCATCCTTAAGTTCCTTACACTGCGTTATTCCCCGCCGCTTTCCCGGCGGCACATAAGGAGTCTGCTGTGACTGGTTTATCTGGGACAAGCACAGACATTTGTCCCTGGACCCCATCTTTCGGTGCTGAGTAACAAAGAAAGAGGGCCAGAAATTGATCCAGCTATGCTGAGCAAAGTGGATGTAAACAGTTCACAATTTGTTTAGAATCTATTTCCAGGCAGCTGACACAGTGGCACGAACATTTTTATCAATCAAAAGGTGTAACAATGTATAACGACATTTTGTGCCAATTTCTTTCTTCTTGGTTAAATTATTTTCAGAATAACCATCAAAGCCGCCTGTCCGATGGATTTGAGAAAGTTTCCTATGGACACACAACATTGCCCTTTGTCGGTTGAAAGTTGTAAGTTAAAATATACTCACATGTTTGTAATACAATAATACAAAGGTTGTGTTATTAATGGTGATGATGACAATGATGATGACGATAGTTGTAAAATATTTTCCTCACAGATGGGTACAGCGACAGACACATAAAATTCAAGTGGGAGAAAGACAAAACAGATGGAATGTCATTCGTTCCTGGTAACGCAAAAATGTTGCCTCAGTATAGTTTAGTATCACTAAACCTCTCGAAGATTTCCAACCGATATGTTGTTGGTAAGTCATACTTCTACAATGCCTTTTTGTTAAGAATGAGGTGGAATGTTATTTCCCCCTTCCCCCGCCTCCCAATTCTCTCTAACTTCTGTTTGACATGGGCTTCTGAGAAGAGAAGAGTGACTTGCATGGGACGTCTTCAACTTGATCTCGTCTTTGTCTAAACATTCTCATTTGTTCACTTTTGAGTTTGCTTCTTGTTTTTTGTTGTTGTTGTTTTTTTTTTTACACTCCGCCCAAATAAACGCTTTTAAAGCGTCTTGTTGATTTAAAGCTGAAAATATCTCCAATACAACACTTCAGTTTGTTGTTTGTGCACGACATCTAAATGATTTCACCGACCGAAACACTAATAAGTGCTTCTTTTTTTGTTCCTCAGGGAACTGGTCTGGAATTAAGGCCGTATTTACATTTGAAAGAATGGCCAGCTACTTTTTAATCCACGTGTACAGCCCATGCGCACTGATCGTCATTATCTCCTGGATCAGCTTCCTTCTTCCACGCAGTTCTCCACCTGCGCGTGTCACGCTGGGCGTAACCTCTGTCCTCACTGTGGTCACCGTCATGAATATGCTTAACAATTCAATGCCAAAGGTAAAATAAGAAACCCCAGATTAACTGTCATTTCGTGATGTAGAGGGTAAAGGTCTAGTACTGGCTTAGATGCACCAGGAAAGTCTTGCCCAGCTTAAACATGTTCTTCTTCTCAAACTTGAGAAATCTGGGTTGTAGAGTTGGCATGGGTCATGTTAAAGGTTGCTTTGGGCATTGACAATTGGCAATCGGCAATTGGGCATTTGGGCATACGGAACTCGCTGAAATGATTTGCTTCAGTTACCACCACGCAAAAGCTGCGCAGTGCGCAATTGCTAATGTCCAAAGCAACCTTCATTGAATCTGCTATAAACAACTTAAGGTTTTCAGCTCGGAGAGAAATTAATTTTAAGGAAGCTTTAGAGTCCTCATTGATCCTGATACCCGTGTTACTTTGGTCGGAGGAACTCCTGCTATGCCACGAAGCGGTTTTAAGTTAGAGGCCTGGAAAACCAACACCAGGTAAAAAGTTTTCACCTTTAAAAATTGCACATGAAACTTTAGCTTTCATCAGGGTTTTCGTTGGAATCCTCCAAACGGCGGCAGCGTATCATGTCAATAGGTATGCCAGGAACTTCCTGTACACAAAACAAACATTAACAAACCGACTTTTCGATTATCTTGCAGGTGAATTACGTTAAGACAATCGATAAATACCTCATTGGATGCTTTTTGTTTGTGTTCGCTTCGTTGGTTGAATATTCCATTGTGCTGTTCTTAGCAGCCAGAATGAAGATATATCAAGAATCGGACGAATATACGAAAGATAACTGCAAGAAGGTCGACACAGAGCCAAGCAGCTTTAAATTCCTAAACCACGGAGGCGTTGTTTTTAACAGGGTAATAATTTTGCCACTGAAAAGCTTAAACATTGTTCCTTGTTTACTAGTTAACCATTCTTCATGCCCCATATAAAAATTCGAATGGATATTGATACCTACAACTATGAGGACTTCAAGGGTTTAGTCGTTATTCAAATGTATCTCCCGCAATTTATCAATGAGAGTAGAGGGCCACAAGAAATCCGATGCTATTGTAAGAACTAAGCTTGGACTCTTTTAACCGATCTCTCAAGGGCGTCTTTAAGATTTCCAGAAAACCATGGATATCACCATTGCAGCTAATTTCTCCTTTGGCTTCTTTTTCAGCGAAGTAAATCAGAGAAAATATGCAGCACTCAGTTAGAAATGATGGAGTTCTCTAAACTCGAGGATGAAATGATAGAAACACCCACACAAAAGACGCAAAGAACATGGCTGGATATAAGAGCTTTGAGAAAACGTTTTTACACTGAGAGAGCGATTCTGGCTGTTGATGAATATGCCCTTATTTTATTCCCTCTCAGCTTTGGTTTGTTTAACGTCTTGTATTGGCTGACAATTGCGAATGATTCGGAGTCAACGTTTACTAATTCCTGACAAAATACAGGAAAGTGCACTTGGCTTCAGATCGCCTTTCTAAAGTAAGGTACAGCAACCCAAGCAACGACCCATGTTGTGTGTGACTTTGTCCCTCGGCCACGGCCGATGAGTAAGCGGTTGTTTATACTGACATTAACACTGCATACCCAAGGCAACATGAAACTTTGGTTGCGATTAGCTTCGGATGGAAGCCCGAAAAATGTAAAACTTATACACACTAAATTACGAGTAAGTCGCCGTATCACAAGTGTGCCATGTAGGACGTGGCAAAGAGATGACTCGTACTAAAAGAATGACAGTTTACATAAATTATATACATATCTATCGTGAATATATATAACTGTGAACAGACAGAAAAAATTCGGCGTCAAACGCCAATATATTTTATACACTATATCTATGTAACCTACACTGTATTTGTTCGAAAAAGGTACCCTGCTTATTTGATTTCTGGACTTCCCACTGAGATAATTCTCGAAGACTGAGCGTTTTAATGAGCACGCAGTAACATGCTTATACACACGCAGTTTGGTTGTTTGGCAGGGGAATGATAGGTAGCATTAGGCTTCAATCCCAAATCAGCTCGTACTAACCAAATTACAAAATAACTTTATTCATTTTCTTGTTCCTCCGATTTGTGATCGGCAGTTACGCATTGTGCATGAAGTGTCGCGAACGTCAAATATCCCGTGTGTCCTGTCATATCTTTCAGCGGCCTGCCAGTCAGAATATTTGTTTTGTTGGCTTTCTGTGATATGATCGCCCTTACATTGCGTACTAGTCCAGTCGCAGGATCAGTATCCGTGAATTTCTTACGAAAACTGGGCGAGGCTTCCTCTTCGCAAATCTTGCCAGATTTTGGTAAGTTCATTTCCTCATTTTCTACGAGCACTTTCTCTTCAGAGGAGTCATGATTCGATCTTGAAGCCATTATTATATCACCTGTATTTGTTGGATCATCTTGGAAGCTTGAAGAATTCTAACATAAACAGAAATTAGAAGCAAAAACGAAATCAAAATTTTTACGAGTAGAATAAATGGATCTTGTTTACTGTGGGTTATATCGACCGAGATATCGGTCGATATAGCGGTCGACATAGCGGTCGATATAGCGGTCGATATAGCGGTCGACAATCGGTCGATAGTCGGTCGATACTCGGTCGATAGTCGGTCGACAGTCGGTCGATAGTCGGTCGACAGTCTGTCGATAGTCGGTCGATAGTGAGAAAGACTATCGGCCGAGTATCGGTCGATATTTCGACGACGCACCTCTACTTGCTATCGGTCATATGTTGGTGCAGGAGCTGGTCGGTAATATATCGGTCAACTGTCGGTGGTATATCAGTCAACTGTCGGTGGTATATCGGTCAACTGTAGGTGGTATATCGGTCAACTGTCGTTCGAATATCAGTCGTGTTAATTTGAGTCCAATGGCTTTTTTTTAAGCAAAGACGTCATTAATTACTGTTATCATGCGATGGGGGAACATGTGGCAGTGCGAGGCGCGATTGTTCTATGAAGCGAACCGAAGAGCACTGGGAACTAAGGACATGGTAACCGTTTTTTTTTTCCAGTTTGTATCCTCACCGATCGTCTTATTTTTAGCTGTTAAACAGAACCTGTCTCAGCCTAAGTTGAATCTGCTGCTCCTGTGGTCCCGCAGTCGAAGAATACTTAAAGAAGGACGAGTGAAACGACTGCTCCCGCAGTCCCGAAGTGGACGAATAATGAATAGGAAAAGGCAGTTCATGACATCTTTTATTATCGGGCTTTGACCTGCTTCATCACGCCGAATTCTCGTTTGTGCAGAGACCACAAATTAAACTTATATATTTCTGCATTGAAGACGGGAACAGTCCTTTTTTTAACGATCAGTTATTGATAAAACGCGCTGATAATGCGCCGAGGAAGGTGACAAAATATCCAGCAGACTGAACACATTCATTTATTGTGGGAATGATTTCAACTTACAGCAAGGAAAATACTCATACGTTCTCATTACATTTTCCTGTCCTTTTGCTCTGTCCTTTCGCTTTATATTGTGTTCAAAATAAAGACGACCATGCGTATACCGAAATTAATACTGAATGGTAAGTCACTCTTGGTCAGCCAATAAAAGGAAGACAGTATGCGCCGCGTTAACATTAATATTATCTTTATTTGTTAAGGAAAAACAAGTTGAACAAAATGAACTGTAAATACATTTTTTCATCAATGGAGTTCTGAGTCGGTTGAAAAATTCTCGGCATAGGAAAAATTAGCCAGATGTAGGCCTTACACGGTGGGAATAAATCACATAACAAGAAGCTGAAGGCATGCCTGTACCAAAAAATGTCACACAACGGGATGCTATTGCAAAGAAAGGCATGCTTTCATGTTTAATTTTGAGTAGTTTGGACTCATAACTGACCAAAAATGTCCAAAATGCGAATTTTTCAAGAATCTCGAACGGCTATCTTCTGACTATCGACCAAGTGTCGACCGACCATCGACCGAGTGTCGACCAATTACTGACTTATACATCGGTCAAGCATCGACCAACTATCGGCGAAGTGTCGGTGAACGAAAAGCTATAACGGCCGAGACACATCTTGAACGACTATCGACCGTGTCTCGACCGAGTGTCGACCGACTATCGACCGACTATTGACCGCTATATCGACCGAATATCGACCGAGTGTCGACCGAGTATCGACCGACTGTCGACTGAGTGTCGACCTCTATATCGACCGATATCTCAGTCGACATTACCCGTAGTAAACGGAGTGTTGGGGGCAACAACGTCGATAGAATTGAGCAAAGATGTAAAGTAAATAGTACAATTAGAGCAAACGAGGGTAAAAATTTCAACTGGCTCAGGAGATGGAATACCTCTACCGAGAAAAATCTGAGTGTGACTTGAACCCAGACCATCCTGATTGCTAGGCCGATGCACAGGTATTTGGTCATGCCACTTCATGACATACAAGTACTCCACTCTCAGAAATTCAAACCTGAAAAAGCCAGTGCTGGTTATCTCTGTTTTTTCTTTTTTGTTGTAACTGAACGAACATTGTTTAGTTCATTTTTAAACTAAACAAACTAAACACTTCACTAACTATTTAAAGGGCTAGATGAGAGTTCGGTTCCATTCGACAAAAGAAACCTGAAAACTAAGATTCCCAACACAAAGTGATACCTTCTGTGTTACAACGTCAGGCTTGTTACTTTCCACATCAAGTTTTCTCTTCCGAGATAATGAGTTTACGGCGTCTTCTTGAAATAATTGACAGTCCTGAAAAAAATTTAGTTTCGTTTCATCAGCATTTTACACCCCACCTGTGAGGCGTCCTGGAGTCCCCAGGCTTGCCGCAACGAAATCAAGGAAGAGGGAATGCACCCCAGCTAATACAAAAATAATTCACCTCCAGTCAAGGTGCTGCTCATCCTCGGAGACCTAGGGGCAGTTAGTCGGGTCGATAAAATGTTCGTGGTGAAAGTTTACTGCTCGTCTCGATCTTACAGTAAACTTTCACCACGAACATTTTATCGACCCGATTAACTGCCCCTGGGTCTCCGAGGATGGGTGCCGCTCGGACAACGTAATATATGTACACTTGCGCCTTTTACTGTCATACATCTTGCTTACTTAGTTGTTCTTCAGAACTTAGTTGGTGTATTGGTCAGGCCACATGGGAGAATCCAGAGGCATTCGGAGTATCCAACTTTTTATTTATTTTTATTTCTGCATTTTCCTCGCGCAGTAAGCAGTGACTTTTGTATCTCCAATATGTGGCTCAATCCCCTGATGTACCGAATAACTCACCAAACCGAGAGAATTTCATTTGCTCCAAACAACAACTTCCTGCAAATTCCACAGGAGTGGAAGAGGCGGTCCTCCAACAGATACTTTGCAAGGTTTAAAGAACCTGTTCGTCGGAAGTCTTCAAAAAATAATAGTAACTTGACATAAAAATGGATTTATTTTTATATTCTTGCCTCTAGAAGTCGCCAATGTTGAACTTTCTGTTCCTTGCTTTTCATAAGTAATAAAACTAATGACATTGCATTCATAAATTCAGGGTCGTTTTAGTACACTGTACGTTCTAGCAAAGGGCATTTGACGCATAAGATTTTTGGACTTGAAACTTTGAAATCTCCTTCCAAAACCTCTGCAAAAATAACTGTCTTCAAATTAAATGACCCACGAGCCATACACTCTAGGGAAACATAACACTCAACATAGCTTTTATAATGGGGAATCCCCTTCCTCTAAACATAAGTCCCTCCTAGGATGACAGGCTCTTCATTCATTTATGAAATAACATGAAAAACATTATTATTCCTAGATTATGCTAGCCTGCAAACAGCAGACGCATTTCCGGTCGTCGCTTCTCTCCCTCCGAAAAATAGGGCAATTGCATAAATATTGTTCACAACTGCAAGGATCATGCTTCATTTGATTTCATTTCTGCAGTTCTTATATGAGCTATTCATATACATCTATCTGAAAAAAAATATGCTTACACCAGGACCCAAGTATGGAACTTGGAGAGGAACTGTTTTGACTTCAAATGTTCTAGACAGGCACTCCATCACTGTTATGTCTGAAGCAGAAAGACATGATGAGGAAAACATCACATAACTCACTAATACCCAATGAGAAACATTTACTTATAATGTGTATGGGCAGAGAAATCACTTTATAACTATACAGCTGTACTCAAGGCCTAATCAGTTCTTAGCGACTTATCTGTTATGTAGACACTGGTTACTCGACTACAGTGTAGACTGATGCTGGCTACTTAACTAATAGTCCTAACTGGACAAACTGCATACATCAAAACAACAAAAATAATTAATTACATGAAGGAAGATCATCGCAGTTATATACAATGTACGCAACTTTTGCAGTTGCAAAAAGAAAGCTTGAAAATAAATTCAGGCTTGTACAGGATTCAAACCCTTGACCTCTGCGATACTGGTGCAGCGCTGTACCAATTAAGCTAAAAGGCCAACTGGGGGCAGGTAGCTGGATTGGTTTGTTATTCGTTCATCAAATAATTTCTTGCTGCACCAGTTATCAAGAGTTCGAATCCCGTACAAGCCTGACTGTTTTTTTCAGGCTTTCTTTTCGCAACTGCAAAAGTTGTGTATATAACTTCGATGGCCTTCCTTCTTATAATTTTTTCACTCAGCAGTTCACATATATGATTTTCATATATTCATAACTTCAAAAACAATTAATGTACATTACCTCTAAATCCGCATGATCTCAGTGACTCACATGTCCTCTGCACTTGTTCAATGCAAGGAGAAAAGGAACAGAGTCTTCCCCCTTCTGCCTGTTTTAAAACAATAAGATATTATTTTTAACAGAGTATCACCATGTATCAAGCATGTCATGTCCTTTCAGTGGTCCAGTACATTACAGGGCTGCCATTAAGAGCCGAGGGGCAAGGATTTCTCTGGCAACTACGAATGTGGTCCCCCTGCCACTTTCACTGGAAAATAGAAAAAAATAGAACCATACGAAATCCCTAGCTGTTTGATTCCCCACCTACTTGCTGTATTTACCCGGCAACTTGAAACCTTAGTGAAAACCCTGTATTTGTATTTCATTTAAAAACTTGGATCCTTATGACTGCTTAAATTCATGGTAAATAAAATTAATATCAAATAAATCAGCAGTTAGTAAGGAGCTCAACATGTGTGCATGATTATGTTATCTCTACTCAAAATGCTTGGCTAGAGCCATGCCAATTTAGCAAAACAAAATTATGAAAACAGAGCCTTAACTTGCTTCTGTGTCAAGCTATTTAGTGGTAACGTACTTTGAGTGCCTCTTTACTGGATTGTATTGCCTCCCATGGTGCTGGCAAATCTAGAAACACTGCAAGAAATATGACACGTTACTTCAAACAGTAACTAAAACACTGAGCATTTTTAGGGAAGTGAGGACAACTGAAAAGAAAGTTCCCAGTGTCTTTATTATGGAGAAAGTTAATGGTGATAATTATATCCATTTGGGTGAACTTGCCTGCATCAGCTACTTGATTTAAACCGAATCCTTCTTTACAGACATCACGGCATCTAACACTTACTAGGTGACTTATCTTATGACTCTCAAATTCTTTTCTGTGGCATAAACAAACCGATCACATGAATAAATGAATGAATGCAGATAATTACATAATTCATAGATAAACAAGGTGTGAGAAAAACTAGACTTTCTCTCAGCCCGTTTACAGTTTCTGCTGGTTTGGTAGTCAGTCGGGAAACAGGCTTTTTCTAACATTTCACAGTGTACCATTCAAAAACATAAGCGTACATAAATAGTGGAAACTTCCGGCTATGATAATGTTTGGGTGGACTTTTCAGTTGATTTCACCAAGGGAATAAATTGAGCAGCGATTCTGGTTTCATTGAATCTGAGGGCTTATCATTTGCTGTAAAATTAATCACTAGAGTCTTTAGTTTACCTTTTGCCCGATTCAATGGAGCCCCAGACCACAGTTTATTTCATACGCATTTTGGGGATGCACCTCTGGAGCCAGGGTACAGTCTGCTGCTAGCCTCTCTTCTGACAATCACAAACCATTTTTTCACCAATATTATGCTAATTTAATTCAATTCTTTGCAGACGGAACAAGTTGACTCACAACTACGTGCCTCGTCTTGCTCTTATGACTTCAACACTCACTTTCACTCTCTTCGCAAGTGTCACACAGTCGACTTGTGACAAGTCTAGAGAAAAACTTGAATTCTAGCTTGTCTTATGGACAAGGAGGTCTCAGATTCTTCCTGCCCAGGAAAATGGAGTACTGGTATTAGTTTACTTCTTACATAGCTTTAAGAAGACAGCTTGCCTAGCTCTTTGCTTATTGAGCAAGTGCACATGAAAATTTGATGTTGGGTAGCAAAATCTACTTGTTCTGGACAACAGGACTGGATATTTTTTTTCCCATAACATACTTTGTGAATGGTACACAGTCTTATTTCTGCATATTTGTTACCTTGCTATATCTGCTCGTTCTGAATGAAACTCAAAGGTGTGAAGATGACCCGATGGTGCAATGGTTCGGATGAGTGAATGTGACATTGATCCACTTCCAGTACCTGCAAATGGATAAAACCAGGCTCCTTTCCATCTTATTAGATATTGTACATGCCAAGCTGGTATACAGGTAGTTATAAACCTTGCCAGTACTTCATTCATCAAAATTGGCCTCCAAGGAATTTTAAATGTTTTTGTTACCCAAAAGCCATGCTACACAAGAGCAACTATTTGGAAGGGTCAAGCAACAAGTTATACATAAATGTATCCATTGTTTCAAGACAAGAGATCCCCTTCCCAAGGCGCCAGATAAAAGGTACACGAGGTAAGATCTTTATAAAAAAAAAAAGGAAAAGAAATAAAAACTCTAAGTTTATCGCTATGTGCTAAAAGTAAAGAAGCTTTTCCAATGCAAATGAACATTGTTACCTGATTCAACAACAACAGAGCCTGGTTTGAGAGCCAATCTTAAGATAACCATACTTATATCTGTGGTATAGAGTATTTGGGTTCTGTGCAGGAGATTAACTGTCCATAGCTCAGGAGTGGGATGAAGAAGATAAACCCAACCTTTTTTGTTCAACGAAAACATCTGAGGACAAATAAAAATTGATGTATGATAAAATGACCCTACAGTATTTGTTGTTAAGAAAATAGGAATTTTGGAAGAAAAAGAATACACTTTTATGGCCATTTATACAATGCAGTGACTGATATGCATGTTGTGATTGACCATTGCCCAAATATGTGATAAGAACATCAGTGACACATTTGCTTGCTGCTCAAGTGCCAAAAATGAAGCAACATTTGTCAGTGATAAAGTATAGCATACCTTTGTTCCAAACTGTCTTCCTATCATGTCTGAATGTGGTAGCGCACCATATTTTGTTTGATGAACTTTGCCTGGTGTCACAGTTACAGTCTGCATAGAGTTGTGCCCCTAACAATAATAATTATCAATAATAATTATGAATGCATAAGAAAGTCAATGCATATTTTACTATCATCCCATAATTAAGACGGTAAGTAAATAAAAAGATTAATTGAACTTTAACAAACTGCAAAAAAATAAATTCTTTATTTGCACTCAGGGCATTTTCACACGAGAAAATAAAAGCGCGAGTCATAGGTGACAAGTCGGTCCATTTTGTTTTGTTCAGCGATAATTTCATCACACATTATCAGCAAACCTAGTGAAAACTCGATCTTGAATACAAACTCAATAGCCCTCCGGGCCCGATAAAAATCGGGGTTCTCGACAAAATAGACCGCAACGGTGACGGGGATGAAATGAGGATTGCCTTGGTGTACATGTGTGGGAAGATGTTGGGACGCCAGTTGCGGAAATTTGCGCGATATCAATATGCACGTAATAAGGTTAAGAAGGTAATACTGTACTTACCAAGAAAAGAATTACAGTATCGCCTTCTGAAATTGTTTCTTTGTACTCTGAAAAACTCATGATTAGACTGATTGTAGCAAACGCGCCGGAGTTTCAAGATGGCTGCCTCTCCAAAGTAAAGCCGCTGAGTGGCTGTTCCGACTGTACATGGTAACGATTGCTCTGGATGCTGGGAAATTTAAACAGTTGCTAGCGCGAAAAGGTACACAAAGATGGCGGATGTCTGGCGAGTTTTCACGAATTTTATTGGCTTTTATGGCAAGAAACAAACAAGGATGAGGTTTGCTACTTATTAGCGAAGTGTAACCATCGATAAAAGTATGTTAGAGGGAAATGATGCAAACTAGTCGGAAAAGTTTTCAAAATGTCAAATCAGGCAGCTGAAATCGAAATGGCCTTATCACAGCCAAAACTTCCAGCTATTGGCGATTCAAGAAATCTGGTTTCGCAGCCTTTGTCTACCGCTCATGAAGATTTGAACAATGGCATTAATCGAGAGAGGTCGTTTGAGCTAAGGTCTAAAAGCAGTGGTGAATTGGAGAATGAAGATGTCAAGCTTTTATTCCAACTAGTGTCACGGAGGTTTGTCAACGCTTTGCAACAGAATACGAAACAATCTTGGCTTGACCTTTGCCAAGTATTGGATGTTGTGAAGCCTTATGCGCACTTCCTTGCTGGATCTCCACAAATAGTTCATTATGTCGAGCGAGCATGTCAAAAAATTCAAGAAAGTCAGGATGAGGGAGAATCCACCTTTCTCTTGGAAAAACTTTGTGCTGTTTTTCCAGCTGAATTTTCACTTGTCCAGGATGGTGCTCGACCAAAAAATGTCCAATTCCCAGCTGGATCATCGGAAGAAAGCCTTTTTACACCAAGAGGTCAACACGCACCTTTGTCTAAAGGTGTTCGAATCCCCCGTGGTGAGCCATTATTTCCTGGGGGCACTACTTACACCTTTGACAAAACAGATGGTGATATGACGAGCTATGGACCTAAGCCTTTGTGTCTGGAAGATTTAAAAAGATCTCTTCCCAGTGTGGTACGAGAAATAGCTTTTAGAGAGGCAACTTTGAGAGGTTCACTGGGAACAACAGCGCTTGCACTGGACACAGATTTGCCGCAAACACGGGTACCAACTCCACCACTGACTCCAAGGAGATCTCCCAGTGTACCTATTATAAAAACACCAATCTCAGAAGCAGGCTGCATTTCACAACTAAGTGAATCAAAGAAATCTAACTTGCCAAAGACTGGCAGGGAGGTAGTGGAGTGTTATGTTAAAGGTCGTTTCCTCGGGGAAGTAAAGTTTGCTTTCTTGAATATTGCACCTTCTGTGCGGTATGATCCGTACAACCTTGTGGTGGTTCCTGAGAACAAAGTCAAACCAGAGCATTATGTGATTTCATCATATTGCATTTTGCATGTAAATCCTTTTGGACCATCAGAGTCTCAGTCACTGGCTGAGTGGTACAGAGAAGCTTGTTTGTTCAAAGCAATTTCAAGTATTGGATTTTTCAAAAACTATCTCACAACCAAGATGTTTCGGAAATGGAAGGACATTAAAAAGTTAAGTCACTTTCTCAAAGTGGAATCAGCAGTTGAGAGATCTCTCATTTCAAATGTTCCTAGCTTTGGTTCAGCATTGCTTCGAATCTCCAGCCTTCTCCAAGACTTGGAAAAGATCACTTTCCTTCCCTTCCAAGTCAATTTTTCTTACAGTTTGGAAGAGTTTGAGGATACTGTTTTTAGAACTTGCAACAAAGGATACCAGTACATGGAGAAGTTTTTCAATTACTGCCAAATGATTGTTGATAAAACTCAAGAGAGCTGCTTTGAATATCTGGAGTATTGTGAAGGTCAAGTTAAGAACCACCGGCATAATTATCATGAATCTCTTGCAGTTGGCAAAAGAAAGAGAGCAATAAGGCAACAGAATCTCAAACTTGCACGAGATGAGGTCAGAAGACTTGGCACTTTTGTAAGCCTAGTGGATCACATTATTGTGTCAAATCTTTTGACATTAACCCAAGGAAATATTTCTAGATTTGTCAATGAAACAATGCCTGGGCCACGACCTGAGAGGGAAGGCCTTTTTAGTGCTGAAATTGTGTTTGGAGATGATCATAAGCTTATGCTATCACCATCTGTCAAGCAGTTTGCACATGCTGTTGACTTTGCTGTGAGAAGTGTGATCAGTGCGAGCTGCAATCTTTCACATGCTATGGAGTTGGGACAAAGAGCACAAGCATTTCAGGAGAAGGCAGAGAAAAATGGTGCTGAGGAAGGCAGCAGTGAAGATGATAGTGCCAAATTGAATGGTTCTGTTACAGTTGAAAGTGTTTACACTAAAGAAAAAAAGGAAGATGGGGATATTGAGAATCTCATAGATGGCAAAGATTCAAAAATAGTGCTGACTGGACAGCAACCTGTTTCACATGCCACAACAACGATCATGGTAAGAGCTTACCACTAATGTTACCCAAAACAACTTATTGCAATATACCGGTATATTTATGTCTAGACCCATTTGCAATGGCTTCACTATTAATAGTTGTTTTCCCATTCCAGCCTATGTAATATTCTGAAGGGATTTTTCCTTTGTCGTTTTTAAAAATTTAAAAGAATATTATTGGCCTTAAGGATAGCGCTAACAGCACATGGTGTTAAATGGGTAGTATACACAAACAACCCAAGCTAAAATTGTCTCTCCAAAATAATCAAAAGGGTGCCTAGAATAAAGCCCTAAGTGATTTTTGATCAACTGCTAAAGTCTGCCTTCAACTTGCCTTGTATTATGAATGTTAATCAAGGAGAGAATGTGGTATTAGCTCAAAAGGTGCTTTAGCACCTTTAATTCCATGCACTCTTTCTTAAATATTTATTTATTATTTCATTTATTTGTTTGAACATCCATTTGTTATCAGACATTGTACGAGATAAATAATGAAGTAAAATAATTAAAAATTGTTCTTCTGAGCCCCCAATAGTTTCAACGATTTACTGGAAGTGTGTTAATTGTGAATTTCCCTTCAACCTGATTGGCAAGTAGACAATGGATTTTTTAACAGGCCGACCATAGCGTGCATTTGAATCCTGACACACAGCTGGGGGGTTAGAACAAGGATTTCGGTGCTGGCTCACAGATAGACCAAACCAAAGGTTCAGTTTTGCCTGTGGCACAGGCTGAATGAAACACCATCATGGCTGTGTTTGTACTAATTCTTTTCAGACTCATTTTGTGGAAGAACCAGACACATTACACAGTGATAGTTCAATCACAAGAACCGATGGAGAGATCAATGAAGACCTGGATGGTTTGAATTCTGATCTGCTGAGTGCTAGAGACATGAAAGAGGTATCAGGACAGGAACTGTGTCTTCACCAAGATCACTCAGGGGGATTACTGGTGGAAGGGCAGAGGTTTCAGGATTTTGCTATTGACAGGAGTCCTTTGACTAAGGAAAAAATGATGCATATCATGTACAAGAAGTAAGATATCTCAGCTACAATTTATTGCTAACTCCAGTTGGTTTGTATTGTTAAAGGGTCAGCATGCCAGACGTGCTATCCAAGAGAACCTCTGAAGGGGGAGAGGGGAATTTTGTGTACAATTAAACTCATCACCAATAGATGAGCTTGGGCGTTGGTGCCTACAAATTTGGTGGAGCCGGGCAATGCTCTAGCATGAGCAGGAGGTATCCATGGCAACCCTGCGAGCGGCCCCCACCAGGCACCGTCACACTGAACAATTCAGTGGAATACTTACCGACCCAATACTTACCTAGCCCACACCAAGAGGGAGGGAGGGAAATGGGAAAAACCAAAGCACAAACTGGCACGCAAACAGCAAGCAATTGCAACAACACTTTGCGAAGAACTGCAAGCAAGCAACTGCGTATATAAGTCACGAGGTGCCCCTGCTAGAGGCATCGGGCCACCCCTACTATAGCTGGGGAAACTGCTGACCAGCATTGCTTTGAGGTTAACTTTGCATAAAATATTACATTTAGCCACATTAAATACCCATAGTTCTCAGTATTATTGTTTTTACATCTTAAGAAATGTTGTTCCCACCTGGTTATCATCACGTACCTACCACATACCATGCTTTATTTCTAAGGATATTTTTGGTCTGTTACATCCAACAGCCAGCAGATCAAACAAGGCCTCATGTACCAGACACACCTTCTTGCTGAAGCCAGTAAGGAAGTGGAACTATTTTGCGATGATCACACTTGGATTGCTGAAATCCATGAGTTTGTGACATCATGGGGTGATGGCCAAGTTGAAAACTGGAGAGGACAGCTAGCTATCAAGATTGAGGTAAACTGAATATATTAGAAATTTTTTATTCATTAGTGTAGTTTTCTCAAGAAGGCAATAAGTGCATGAGTGCCTTTGTAGCCTAAAACTCAATATTTCTATGGTAAATCAGTGACAATCTCAAATCTTATATTAATTTTATAATAAACCATTTTTTTACTGATACATACTGATATGTAATATGTATAATATTGTTTAAAGTACACATGTAGGTTGCGTAGAATATTTTGGACAATAATAGAGCTGTTTCTTTGACTTTTGCACTGCAGGTATATATATTTGTACCATTATATATCAGGTACCGCATGCAAGTCTAGCAGACACCATGTTCTTGAAGTTAATTGCTAGCCACATAGCTTTTGCAGTAATCACCAAACGCGACATAAACCCTCGTCTTGTCTGATAGTGAACATGTTCTTTTCTTCTTCACAGCAACAACTGAATAAAATCAAAGCTTGGAAGGAGAAAGTACTGAGTATGACAAAGAGCTTCTGTACTGAAAATGGAATCTTCTTTGTGGACTGCCATGATGTCCAACAAAAACTTCTTCCACAACTTAACAGTATATATAAAAAGATGGTTCAAATGGTGGCCTTAGATGTCATAAGGCTCTCTGATGAGATGGTGAAAGATGTGGATGAGCTCTCACAGGTAAAAACTTATTGAAAGTATAGTGTAAGCAAGCACATCATAATGAGCAACATTTTGTAATTCTTGTATTCAGGTGAAAGTACATGTATGGCATTTAAAGTGTGATTTCATCTGCCTAAAAATGTGCACAATCCACCATTCTTGAAGCATTTCTTAAGATTTGTAACAACAAATCTTTATTATGCAATATTGCATTTGCTGACTTGGTCTTTGAGCAGGTCTTATTTGATGAATAAAAGTACAATCAAGCTAAGTTGTATATTAAACTGGATGCCTTGAACCTTAACTGAGGAGGTACATCTGTATGGATCGAATATGGCCTGAAGTGACTCTGGTCAACTAAAATTCTCTTTTTATTATTTTTCACAAGAAAATGCAAGGTAAGTTGTAGGGAGAATATAGGAGTCAATCAGAAGTCACTTGGGCCTTTTTTTTCAGGCACTAGCCCCCTTCATTTTTTAAGTAGCAGGTTATATTACAGCAAAGTGGTAACCTCTACTTTGAGTGGTAACATGAACATCTCTTTTTGTTTTTCACACTACAGTTGTTGGCAGACCCAAAAACAGATATCAAGGGGTTTGCAGATTTCATGCAGAAGCTGTCAATTGTCAAAGAACATGTTCCACGTTTGAAAGAGAAGGTGGAGTACATTAAAAACCTTTATGAGGTGAGCATTAGATGGAAAATGATCTAAAATCTTTTACTTTTTATACATGTAGGTGTTACATAAAGTTTTTTCAAGGTAATATTCCACATACACAATACTACGTAAATGGCTGTGATGCTGACATCATACATACAAAATAATAGATTCACAGTTCTTATGGTCAAGGTAACCTTCCTTTTATACAGGAACAGGTGTTCTTTGTAGAAACTAGGCTGCTTGAAGCAGTCTAAGTGTAGAATAATTCAAATTGTGGCTGTTGTCATCTAGGTTACTGTATTTTCCCTTATGTCGGAATTGACTATAATCTAAAGATAGCGTGTGATGTATTGTCCTCCACACAACATGACTCAGTTACAAGTCAATTTGTCTCTTCATTGAACTGTTTTTTAATGGTGCAAAGGTTATAAGAAGTTGTTACAGACAGCTAACTCCAGAAGAGGAAGTGAGTGAAGAAAAGGTAAAGCACTTATCATAATATTACATCAATTTGCTTTATTATAGTCCAATAGTTTTTTTTTTCACACTTGCAATTATTTAACGTTCTTTCACACATGGCATTGACATAAATATCAGAGTATTTTTAGTGAATGGATAACTTGGACCAACAAATGAGTTATTTAAAGATCTCCCAGCAATGAGCCGTACAGTTCTAAATTAATGGGCTCCTGCTCCTCTTAAATAGCAAGTGACAAATGTCATGGTGATTACAGCTGCAAGAAACATTTTCTTAAGGAAGGTTATAAGGTTTTGTGTAACAGTATCAAAATACTATGTAAAATATTCAAACAATGGATTTCAAACCTTAAACTTTTCAGTTCTTTGTTATCTTGTAAATGACTTAAGTGCTATTTAAACTTGTTTCTTTTTTTCTTTGTATAGTCAGGTCTTCTTTTCTTTACATAGTGACAACTGATACTATTTCTGATAACATTCACATTATATGCACTGGAAGGCCTCCTTTCCTAAATTATAATTATAAGAAACTCAGACAGTCATTTTCTTTTACACTAGCACTCTAGTTACTAAAATATGTAAAATGTATTCTGTTACAGAAAGAGAATAATGAGCAATTATCAGCCAAATTTGTTAGTTTCTGCTGCATTGTTTATTATGATATATACTTCTTCTTCACCTATAAACCTTGCTTCTCAGCTTCCTGCTGAGTTCACCGCTTTGGTGTCAACTGCTTTGTGCTATTACATCTTTTCCGTTCATATGATAGTCAGGACGTTTTGCTGTCAGTCAGTTTTCAGTTGATCGCTCGGTCATTCTGTCTGGCAGCTAGTGAAACACTTTCCTTTCACTTGTTTGTTGTTAATTATTTTTTGTTTGTTTGATTGTTTTTTAAACTGGTCTGATTGTTTTCTCAATGCTTTAATCTCTGGATCACCTCCTGGATACTTCAAAAATCACTGTACGTACAGCACACACAAAAACCACCGGTCACACTTGTTATACCCGTACGTGACTGTATGCTTATTTTCTAGGTGTGGGCGACATGGGAAGGATTCTTATTCAGTCTCCAGGAAGCTTCAGATTTTGTAGAAATGCACAAACCTCAAGTCTCTGAGAAGCTACTAGAAACAATAAGTGTGAGTATGTTTTGGGCACAGTTGGTCAGTTTATCATTGCCTCACTGACAACCATGGCTTTCCGTTATCTCCTCATAACGAAGTGTTGCACTCCAAATTCTTTTTTTTTTTTTTCAAACACAGGCTCTCGAACAATCAGCTGAGGAGATTGGAAAAACAGCCACATCAGGCCGATTCCTAGACCCAAATGAAAACCCTAAGTCCATTGTGCAGTCCATAAGGGAGGTAAGAGGAGTGATCACACGTAAACTTGTCTAGGGCAGGGCATTTGCTTGTTGCTATCAATAACAAAAGGCAAAGCAAACTTCTGCATCACACATAAAACTTTCTTCTCAGCTCTGTCCTGTTCACTGCTCTGTTGCCAACTGTTTTGTGTCTTTGCATACTCTTCATCCTGATTTTGTTCTCCATGTTTGTAGTTTTCGTTGCTGTAGTTGCTGTCTCTGCATCTAATAATGTCTTGTTCATTGTCAGCTGAGAGACAAGTTCATTGATATTTGCAACAAGCTGTCAGACCTGAGCAAGTGCCAGGCAGTCATTCTGGGAGAAGAGTATAATCTAAAGCACGTTACAGATATCCTTGAGGCTATTGACAAGAGGCAGGAGCTGTGGCGCTACTGTGATGCATCATCACATGCCATTAGAGAGTGGCTGCAAACAGTCTTCAAGAAGGTATGACTCATTTTGAACGCGCTATCTTTTCCAGGGTGGCTTCTTCTGTCTCGTCTCCAACTTCATAAGTACATTTCTATTATTCAGATGAATGTTAGGAAGGCCATGGATAAACTAAATGAATGGAACAATGCGGGAGAAAAGCTCAAACAACACGTTCCCAACAATGATGAAGTACTGCATTCATGGCTGAGTCAGTTGGAGGAGTTCTCTCAAGATTTGCCTTTATTACTTCAACTGTCGAGTGATGCTCTTAAGGTAATTAATCCCTGAAGAACTGTATGCTCAAAAAGGTTTTGGTTCCAAAATCAAATTCAAGTCCTCTGGGGTTATTGAGCATAATTATATCTCTCATATCTCATCAGTTCCTCAGTATTATAGTGTGTTAACAACAAGCAACAAAGGAAAAACACAGACAACAATAAAGAACAAAGGAAGTAGGAGAACTAGAAACAGAGTAGCACCTACAGGTGTAGTAAATTGCAGCACCTCGTACTGGTGTCCCTCTATTTTTTCAGCCTTATCAGAAAGATATTTTGGGTACACTACATTTACAGTTTACAGTACAGCTCAGAGATAAGCGTCAGCTTCAAACGCGTAAGCTTAAGAAATATGTTGACAAAAAACAAAGCTCTTTCAGTAGATAACAAACATAACGTCTTAACGAAAAAAACGTGCTTGTTGCTTGTGCTCTAAACGGTACCAGCAGGTGTCCTTACACGTTTTGCTCTTTCAGTCCCGCCATTGGAGGGCCTTGTTTATAGGCATGGGCCAAGATTATGATCCCACCTGGGATTTTACAGTAGCGGACCTTCTGTCTTTCCATCTTGGCCGCTATAAGGACTTGATATCGGCAATCTGCGCTGGAGCTGCGGCAGAATACGCGTTGGAACTTCAACTTAACCAACTGGCACGCGGTTGGGAGGAGAAGGACTTCAAACTTGCCAAACATATTCCACTCATGAGACCAAGAATGGAAGGCGATCAGAGGAAAAGTGAGAAAGGAAAGAGAAAAACAAAAAAGACCGGCCATGGTACTGAGGTAAGTTTTGAACGCGGCTTAATGTTAGCGTTTCTTCTGAACCTTTACCAAGTGTTCTGACTTTTGCTTTGTGGATCATCTGCTTTTCTAAACATGGTAATTAACGACCAGAATTATCAAAAACACTGCTTCCTTACTCTTAAATTCTGCTCTGTGGAACGCGAGTTTGTTTTTACTAACGCAGTGATATTTTAATTCCCAAAAACAGAAGAAAAACGTGAAAGTAAAGCCAAAGACTCCTGCTTCTGTCCCAGATGTGTTCATTCTTATTGGTGTTGGAGACCTGAAATGCGTTATTGAGGTATGATGCAAACAGCTATTGTAAAGCTGTAGTGCTGTATTAAGAAGGACTTCGAAAATGCTCTAGTGTTAATATGTTGCTTTTGGAATACTAATTGCAGTGGCTCTTCCTCTTTGTTGGTGCCTTCTTTGTTGCTACCATCATGAACTCACACAAAGAACCAGCCGTTCCATTCATCGATTTTTTCTGCGCTTTTTAATAACATGCAAACAATGAAGTGTAGTAGCCTTCATGTACTGCTTACGAGATATCGAGCGCCTGGAAAAAGAAACTAAAAGTGCCTAACAACTTACAAATAAGTGCTTCACTATTTTGCACATAGCATCACTGTTCACTTGAATTATACACACTTGTTTGTTTTGGCTCTTCTTCTCATTTCGAAACAGATCTTTCCTAGGTGAGATGACGTTGTTGCCCCTGCATGCAATTTGCTTCCAGTGTCTTGCTACTTGTAGTAGCTCGTTGTGCTCCGATTTACACCATGACAATAAACTGATGTTGACAGGGTGGGTGGACAGTTACCCAGAAACTTCAAATGATCTGATCTAATAAACTAATAAATAGCATTACATAGCTCTTGCCAACCAATAACGTGACTGCTTCATGGTCCATTTCAGACACGCGATAATCTTATTTTTCGTATATTTTTCAGGACAATATGGTCACACTTCATATGATGCTAACTTCTCCACATGTAGTGGACTTAAAGCCAATGGTCGAGACGTGGATAACCAACTTGCAAGAAATAGAAAACATTATTGACATTTGGGCGGATTGCCAGAAAAAGGTACAACAGTAAAACACCCTTGTTAAGCAATGGTGGCGCAGTGGTAGGAGCACTCGTCTCCTGCCAATGTTGCCTGTGCTTGAATCCCTGAGGTGACGTCATATTAGGAGTTGATTTTGTCGTTGGATCTCTTTTTGCTCCGAGAGGTTTTTCTGCGGGTACTCCGGTTTCGCCGTGTCTCCAAAAACAGCTTTTTCAAATACTAATTTGATAAGGAATGGAAAACGAAGAACCATAAGTGGATGTGTGCCGCTAAATGTATTTTATTTGTGTTTAAGTACGGGACATGTGGAATTGTGACGATATTTTTACAACCTGAGTCAATAACTGCATGTTTATATATGCTGTATCATCTGTTTTGAGCTTACGTTTCTGACGTTTTATACATGTAAACGGATAACATTCTATCCTGCAGTTTTAAGCTACTTTGCCCTCTTATGTTGGTTTGACCTGAGTGTAAAATTCAATAAGCATTTCTGCTTTCTTTCACTTTAGTGGCTCTACCTCAGTAACGTGTTTGCGGAACCTGAGATAAGAAAGTCATTGGAGGAAAGTAACCGGCGATATCTTGAAGTTGATGAAAAGTACAGGGTAAGTCAAGCCTGCTGTCAGTTAGTAGTGTACATGTATTTAGATCGAAATGAAATAATCCCATATCTTTGTTAGCAACAGGAAAACGAAGCAAGCGACTAGCAAAATCTGATAAAATAATTTCAAAGCTGAGAAAATGTAACAAAGGATGTCATGTCATCTTAGTTTCTCTCAAAGTGCGCCATATTGAAATCGATTTGTTATTTGCAAGTACCGATTTCTGTTGAGGGAGGGAGACTAAACAGCTCCTAAACGAAAATAGGTTTGATACAAAGGAATAGGTATGTTTTTTCTTTTCTTGCGTTGGAGGTTTACTTGCGTTGAAGTGTTGAAGTACGTACAGTAACGTTGTTGTTAACTTGAAGGGACACTGTCGTATGAGCGAGTACCTTTTTATCTTAATTTGACCCACGGTTTATTTCTACAAACGTTCATTTCTCTTCTCCTTTAGGAATATGTTCAAGTAATTCTGAAGGATCCAAAAGTGATGTCTGTATTGCCCTTAAAGAAAAGAGGACAGAAAGGCTGGCGTGAGCTGCAAGGTGATGTCCTCAGAGAGCTCTTACTGGGGCTCATCAGAAAAGAGGTAGCTACGCAATAGAACTGAATACTTCAAAGTTTTTGGTGTTGAGTGATATACACCTTCCTTTGAAGGTGGTTTAAAAAATTTTTCACTTTATATCTTGATACAGGAAGAACTGATCAGACTGGTAGAGAACTATATTGAGAAAACCCGTGTTGAATTTCCACGGCTCTTCTTCCTTAGTGACAATGACCTACTCGGTCTCCTGGCCTGGTCTCGTAATCCCAAGGATTTACTTCCTTTCGTAAGGAAATGCTTCCCTGGTATAAAGAACCTTCAATTCACTTTGCCAAGGGACGGCAACTTGAAGCTGGCTTCTTCTCTGGACACAGCACTTAATGGTACTCTATACCTACTTTTCCCAGAACGTAATCAGCATAAGTTTGAATCATCAAAGTAGTCTTTGGTAAATGTCTCTTTTTCCTTTGTGGCTCTCTTGACATTGAGTTGGAGTGACGAAAACCTGATAAAGATTGACCTACTGGAAACGCTTTAAATAATAAGACCCTTTTTTATATGGCTGAAGATGAAGCGACACCTGTGTCCAGATTGCCTTCCCGAATGGGCAAGAAAAGAGAAAAAGGTCTCTTTTTGGCCATATGATAAATCCTTTATCTTCGTCTCTGTCCAAAAAGCGCAGAAAAGAACTTGGCCAATATCCAGCAATCTCGACTGAAAACATGGTTGGTCAATAAGGCATATGAAGTGCACACCGGTATGACAAACGTCATTCTTTGCCTCTACTGCTAACGATTTTTTCACCCCCATGAAATTATGTTTTATCGGGTCCCACTGTAGCTGGCAACGAAAATGACTACCGCGATGATTTTCAAAAGGTAGCTATATTTTGTAGACAACACTGAAAATTTTCCAAAAATATCGTGAATCGCTTTGTTTTTAATTGTGGGTTTTCATTGACAAAGGGATCTCAAAGCAGACATACATTCTAAAATTGGCCGGCTCGCGAGGTAATTTAGTTTCTCAGATAATCTGAATGACTAATCCTACTCTCGTATTCTTTCAGCGCACCTTCTTCAAGTCACTGCTCTTGAAGGAATGTTTGAAGAGGTGCTTCCTTTGATATCAGTCATCCCTGCTTCCCCTAGACCTCAGGGTTGGCTTGCTACTTTAGAAGAAAGGATGAGAAATACGCTTATTAAAAGTCTAGCAGAATGTGTCCTAAGGAGGCTGAGTGGAAAGGAAAATCCTAGCGACCTTCTAGAATTGATGACTACTGAAGGTTAGACGATGTACAATGGAATCTCTTAGTCACTTTAAGATGTTTTTGTTTTGTAAGCTTATTATCTGTTGCTGTCTCTATAGGCACATATATTGCATATCAAGATCACACGTTGCTAAAGTTCCCAAATCAGTGCATCCTGACAACTGAAGCCATTATGTGGAGCAAAGACATGAGTGAAGCCCTACAGAATGGAAGTTTGCGAGGATTGTCTGACCTTAAGTATGTATTTTTGGATGTTTATGTTTTGGGAAGCCTCCCGATTCCTGCCCTTTTCTTCCTGCTCCATCCACAGACAAATCTGAATGTTCTAATACGGACTCGTTACATGCGGTGTGTTCACGTTTTTCTATTCGAGTGCTCTGTCATTTTCCTTTTTTGAACTCATTAATGCATGTGCAACAATTTGTCAGAGTAAGTGTCATCTCGCAGTGGATCTGCACCCAGCCATAGCAGCCGCTCTTTTTAAACTTAAGCCCATAATCCTTTGCGAGTGCAGTTTGTCTACTACTACTGGTGCTGGTACTTTCTTTAATTCATTGACCATCATGGAGTAACAATTTTCCTCCTTGTTTCGTTTCGCTTCCACTGATCACCCATCCATTGCCTTTTATTATGTAGGAAATCGCTTGCTGGATTTATGGTTGATCTCTCAGGGGCTATCAGAAAGAACATGGAATGTAACGACACTAGTGCCATAAATAATCGTCTTGAGTTACTACTTGCTGCGCTAGCTGCCATGACAATACACCAAAGGGATACTGTAACCGGTTAGTATTTATTGGTTGTATAAAATATCACCACCAAACACAAAGGAATGTTACCACAATCTCTAAGGGCCAAATATTGAACGAAGACTAACTTAAGCCGCGGTTTAACAAATCTTTGAACCTCCAGATCTCTTCTTTGGTGTGTTGTTTTAAGAAGATAAATGCTTTCCTAGTCTTCTCTATATGCTTTCACAAAACTGTTCACAATGATTGATGGGTAGCTAAAATCGTTGGGCGAGTTCAAAATGACTTAGAACCCGGTTTTGTTAAACACTGACTAAACTACGTTTAAATATTTTGCCCTAAATGTTTACTTATGACCTTGTAAATAAGTTAGAATTGTGGATGATTCCAGGTTGACACTTGTCAGTAACAAGGTGATTGAAAATCATAATATCATTTCTGCAGCATCATATGAGAGAAAGTCAATTACATCTGCCTCCGCCGAATATCACTTTTCCCTCCTATTATATACTTGACGGACTGACCTAACTAGCTGTGCAACAAATCTTGACGAATTTTCAAAAATGACATCTTAAGGGCTGGCCATTGAACACGCCGTAGAGTTTGCTCCATGTTTTTGAGGACATGTTAAGTTTCTAGTTGTAAGCTTGCTGTGTGAGTGTGTAGAATGACGCTTTTCCAGACGGATAGAATTTTTATCTGATAGTTGCAGTGATACAAACAACGATGAAGATTACGAATGATGACTATCATGTTTATGATGATGATGATGTTGATGATGCTGAACATGTTTTGTACAGACTTCATGAAACAAGGAATCACAGACGTAAACAGTTTTGAATGGGCCAGTCAGCTTCAACACCAGATAGAAATCAAGCCTGTACTTAGCTCTTCTTATCAAGGAGAAAACAACGACTCATCTTGCACATCCAAAACTATCCCCATCAATCGTCTCTATGAGGTCGGGCGGTGCAGCGTTCGGCAACTTGGTACTAGCTTTGTTTATGGCTATGAGTACCTTGGTCCCACTCATCGCCTTGTTGTTACACCTTTGACGCAGAGATGTTTCCTGACTCTAACCATGGCTTTGCGGTCCCACCAGTGTGGGCTTCCTGTGGGACCTGATGGCATCGGCAAAACGGGAACTGTTAAAGATCTGTCAAAGGTATGGTACCATTGTTTTGCATACTACAGAAAATGAGAGGGGAAGGGGACTGGAACTCATACTAGCCCATTAGAAATCCTCTCTTTTTGTGACATTTCGAAGTGTGTATTTAGTTAATGCTGCTCAGAGTCATTTCACTCTTCAGTATGAAGCTTTGTTTCGATAGAACTCAGGGGAAAAACCAAAAAAACACATTAAGCTTGTTTCCCTTTTTTCCTAGCGATAATGTTTTTTTTTTTTTGGAATAGTCGTCAGTGTATTTAAAAATAGTCTACCGTTCATCGTTCGGTTTTCAGGAATTCTCTCGAAGCTTGCCCTTATTCTCACAACAGTTTCAAACTTTCCGGAGTTTATACCTCTGTATTCCCAAAGCTTTAAGTTTAAAAGGATACATGGTTTGAATGTCAAGAATTTGATTTGAAGATTAGGTTAAGTTTGTTCGGTTTAAGTAACATGCATTTAACAGGCCAGTTCGTTTGTTTGTTATTCCTTTAGGCCTTTGCAAGGCACCTGGTGATGTTCAACTGTTCAGAGCAGTTAACAAATTCCATGCTCGTCCGTTTCCTTTATGGCATGGTAAGGTCAGGTAGCTGGGCGTGCTTTGAGAATGTGGATTGTTTAGGTGCTGGTATCCTTTCCTGTCTTGGCCAACATCTTTCTACGATCAGAACCTCACTGAAATGTCTGGAAAAGTTGGTGACGACTCAGTACACTGCAAGAGGTTTTCATAAACCAGGCACTCAAGAGGTAATGTTTAACAGGATTTCAGAAATATGCAAGGGAAAAACACCTTATTTACTTGGTATCTTGTGTGAACTGTGGAAGTTTGGTCCTTTGTTCCTCTTTTCATTGCCTTTTTTTTCTTTCCTTGACTTTACAGGCTGACAATGTTAAGAGAAGAAGCAGCATAACTACTCTACATTTCCTTCCTAATGAAACATTTATACCTGGCTCCAAGCCAGATTCCTTATTGGTAAGAAATGAGTTAAGTTCGGAGTAGTGTGACCAAGAAATGAGACGTTTGTTCTCTGCATGAAATTAACTGTAATGGCTTTAGAACTGCAAGAACCCACATAAGAAGGAGTGGGGATTATCCAAATAAAAGGTGAATTTAGAGTAGTGGCTAAGGAACTATTCATAACTTTTCAAACTTGCACTACTAAGAAGTGCTAGTTTAGATTGGCTTTCATCGTTGATTGTAATGTTCAGTCACTAGGACGTTGAGACGCCAGCATGGCAAACAGGGGGGGCATGAGGAAGTCCACATAAAGTGTGTTAACCAGTGTGCATCTATAATCTGTACCTATCTTTATCTATCGAGGGCGTAAAATGTTCTTTAGAATAAATACAGTTGAACGTCCGCTAACGGCCACCTCTTTGCAACGGCCACTTTCTTCTGTCCCTAAGGTGGCCGCTGTAGAGAGGTTCAACTGTATACTTGTTGATTTACGAACATTCAGGCAACAGGGCTGTGGTCCTTGTTTGTTTCAGGGAAATCACCTCGCCAAAGGAAGGAGACATCACGTTGTTTTAGAAGGAGGGGACCTCCAAGAAGCAGATTACTACAGTGATGCCCCTCGTGTCTCGTCTCTGGAAGAGCAGAGTAAACTTCAAGAAACATTTCAAGACAGAGTAGAAATCGAACACAAAAAGGAACTCAGATGCAAAGAGTTTAAGATACCCCTACTCGGTAACATTGTGTTTGAAGGACAACTTATGCCCGCCAGTGAGATGTATGGTTGTTTTATGACTATGTCTAAGAGTTACAGTTTGACTGCTGATCTGCCTGAAAATTTTCGGGTAAATTCCCTCATGTAACTTGTAATGAACAGTTTTCAGTTATATAGTGCGACGAATGAAGCATTTAACCATTTTCAAATCGTATCAGTTGACAACGTGATCGAGTTATCGTCCAACACTTCGTAATCAAGTTAAGCGATAGCTCTGCATATCTCCAGATTATGCCTTCGGTTTAACGTCCCTGTTTTTACGCAATTTTGGAAACGCATTGTGCATATTAAAAAATATTTCTCTTGGTGATCTATTGAAAATGACAAGTCAAATGACTGTTTACTCCGTGGGAGCAAAAGAAAACGTTTTCCTTTTCGTGGTTATGCTTAGGGCGCTTATGCATATGTAATGTTTTTGCAAACGATCCTGAAATGGGTTCAAATCTTAGCACAGTTTCTATCAGCCCCTTTATTACGCAAGTGTAATACAGGCTGAAGACTCTTTTAAACCTGTACTGCACAGAAGCTGCTGTCACTCAAATATATGATGTTATATCCCAGGCACAGCTGAGACCCGTGTCGATGGTTTTTCCTGATTGCCGCCCTGTGGTTGAAGTCTGGTTGGTAGGATGTGGTTTTACAGAAGCTAAACCTCTCTCTATAAAGATGGACACCTTCTTCAAGTTAATCAACCAACAGGTTAAACATAATACCGACAGTGCATGTTTGAGCATGAGTATGAAATAATAAATAATTTTAGCGCTATATTATATAGGAGGAAAACTGAGATTGTGATTAGTATGTGTAATCAAATGGTGACGAGTGAAATTAGGGAATAATTTCACGCGCGTTTTGTCTAAATCCTTATAATTTCCCGAGCCTCTAAGAATCCTTCTTGATGTGCTCTTTCGTGTGTTCAGGTTTTCTAAAGCGTCTTTTTATGCCCTGACATCTTCATTCATGACATTTTAAAACTTCCTCACCATCTTGAAACGGAGACGTACGGCAGGTTGCCATGGCAATTTAGCAATTTCACATGTGAAATTACAAATTAACGCTGAAATTTCGCGCCAAAATTAAGGAGTAATTCGTCACCTATGATATTATTACTGTAATTATGATCGTGATTATTTTGATGATAGTTATCTGGATTATGACAAAAGATATGTATATATTTTGAAGGTTTCTTGTCAGCCACAGTACTCATTTGGATTGCGTAGCATGAAGATGGTGACTTTACTGGCTGGAAAACAGTTGCAGAGGGATGTGGCCAAAAAGAGGCCAAATACAATGGGTTCTTTCAGAGAAGAATCCTCCTCCGATCTGAAGGGTGATACAGGTCTGTTATTACGTCATTATAAAGGGGAGGCGTCCCAGGTGTCATAACTCATGCCTTATTTTTCTCGCGACGTTTGGCAAATTGCAATGATGTCATTGCATACACAACTTAATGGAGTCCAACAGGACCGAAGGTTAATCACGTTTCTGAAGCAGTGAGCACTTCGCTGCTAGCTGGTTTGCCGGATTGAGATGTGCGTCTATCAGAAGGTTATAACGTCCTTTCCGCCCCCGTGTCTTGTGCACGAGAGACAATAGGTAGCTGGTGAAAAAGAAGGTTTGAAGTTCTATTTGACTGAACGTTTGCTGTCCTCCAAAGTTGTCTGGACCAGCGGGCGTTGGGCTTGAGGGAGGGACGGGGCTGTTTATAGTGAATTGCAATTTTATAAGGCATGATATTCCTGGCGTAAGGCGTTGTTGGTTTCTGCAATAGCACAGATTTATTATGATAACCTGAGCGGAGGTCTGACGGAGGTGATATGCTTAGATACCTGCTTGTCAAGACGTATCGCCCAACTAGGTAACTATGAAATAAGTGGTGAAACAAAAGTACCTATATAACTTGTATGAAAGTAGGTCATCGCAGTTATAGACGCAACTTTTGCAGTTGCGAAAAGACTACCGATGAGTTTGCTCAGTTCTTCTCTAGTTGTTTTTCTTAACTAATCCTCAGTCTCCTTGGCGTGTTGTTTTTCAGCATTGGAGAGAAAAACAAAAAGTCCATTTCTTGAAACACTCGAACGACGCCAATCTGAGGAGAATGCAGTCGTGCACTCACTTTTCACTTACTTTGGAAACAAACTGTTGTTGGAAGACAAGGAGTTGTTTTCTCGTGCAGTGGATGAAGTGTTTGCGCACAGTGTGTTGATGTCTGTATCAACTGAAGGAGACCCACTTCTGGTGGAACAAGTTAAAGAACATCTTCAAGCAAATGGGCTCCAAGTCAGACAGGAAGTAATATCCAAGGTAACTTTTGTTGTTGTTTTCGTTGGTATTTGCTATTGTTGTTCAGTTCGTACGCAAGGTATGAACTGTTGGAAACATATATTTTTTAGATTGAAAACTAGGTAAATAGCTAGCTTTAATGGGCAATCGAATTCTGCAACAGGATCTACAGAGTAGTTTGAGGCCTTTCATTACGGCCTGTTTTTTTGTTTTTTTGTTTTTTTTTAATATTTCTACCTGCTATACTTCCTCTGTAGATTCTTCAACTTTACACCAGTCTTCAGACTAGCCGTAGTGTGATTCTTCTCGGTTGTCCAGGCTCTGGCAAATCCACTATATATAGTACACTGGCAAGTGCCTTAAACACTTTGAATGGAAAAGCAACTCAAGCTGTTGTGACAACACGAAGACACACAGTTGGAGGAAGAAAAATCAGCAATGCTTTAAAACAGGCCAAGGCCCCAGTAGAAGAGATCAAAGATGTTTTGTGGCCTCGAGTGGATCTCTCAGTTGTGTTCCCAAAATCACTGACATGTGAAGAGGTGAGTTATGAGATTTATGGAGTCGTAAAAATCCCGTCAGATGTTAAACGAAGCTATTCACAGTATCGTCACTTTGGGGTACAAGGGAGTAATTCAGTTGAGGACTATGGGCAACTCAAACGTTTATTTTTCACATTTTCAGTGCCTAGCAGATGACTTAAGCAGTGCTTTTGTTTTCAAACAAATATTAAGTGAATGATCATGGCACAAACCCTCGATCAAAACACTTCTTGAACACAACGTAATGACAACAAGTGAAACCATTGAATAAAAGACTCAAATAATCAAGATGTGTTGATGTTAATAGGACTTGGAAAATTTTTATTATTTTGACAGTTGTTTGGAAGGCAACTACCAGATAATAATGTCTGGGTTGATGGAGTGGTATCAAAGTGGTTGCGAGACTCCACTCTGACCCACGATACCATGGCTGAGCTTCTCACGAGTCAGTTCTCAGACAAGCAGAGAATTGCTCGTATGATGGGATCATTGTCACACGTGAAGAAGTGGTTGGTTCTGGACGGACCTATGGATGACACATGGCTTGAGAACATGGGAACTTTGCTGGATTCAACCAGGGCATTGAATTTGGCAAGCGGAGAAACCATCAGCCAACCAGGTGAGCTTGAGCTGTCATTCAATGTGTCTATTCTAGTAGTAGGGGGCATAAATTTCCTCGTGTTCACCAAGACTTGAGACAGTCTCCCACTGGAAGCATTGGTATGATTAAGGGACAACTGCATGTAGTTTCCTTTTGGGGACAAAACGATCTTCTTTTTCCCTCTAAATAGCTGCAGCATGTTATCTCTTGTCAAGTTAACAGTCATACATTTTTAGGAAGATTTTCCACTGTTGTTGTTGTTGTTCACAAGAAGTAATGTGTAAATTGGATCTTTCTATGTTTTCAGAGACTGTAACTCTCCTGTTCGAGGTAACGGAGCTTAGTCATGTGTCTCCAGCACTGGTGACTCGCTGTGGCCTGATCCACTGCCCTGAAACAACTGTGGGTTGGAAGTCCATCTTTAGGTCTTGGATGAAAGGAGCTCATGCAAAGTGGGACATCACCAACAGAGGGCAAGCAACCAGTTTTGCATTTTTAGTCTCGCCAGTATCGATTAAGTACTATATATACTTGGTTTTAACCGTAGGTAGCTTGAATATCAGACGTTTCTTGGGGAAAGGGGCAAAGGAGATGCGAACAGGAAAGACAGCAAAGGAAGAGAAACTCTCTCTGTTCTCCTCTCCCCCTGGCCTCCACCCTCTAAAATCTCCTTTCCTCTAACCCTTTTGAAATGCTTGATACTAGGGTCTAGACCTTAAGAAACCAAAATTGATGGACCAAATGTCAGCACAATCGTCTGAAGTGAATGAATGAACTTTTGTCTTTGTTAGCAAGCAGATCATTTGTGCTTAAATTTGTCCTATCTATCCTTAGAACTATTTGGAAAACTGTTAACTAAGGACTGAGAGTGAAACGTTATGTTTACCTCAACTGAAAATGATAAAGTTAATCGAAGATGTTAATCTTTATGGATTTTCAGGTTAGGTATCATCTCTTGTTTAATGGATCATACGGTGGACTCAACTTTGAAATTCCTCAGCAACAACTGTCAGTCAGTCCTTACAGAAGGATATGGCTCAGTAAGAAAGCCATCCAAAACAGCTGCTGGGATATATGAGGTCCAAACACTGCTCCGATATCTGTCCGCCATCTTTGACAGACATATCCTTCGGGAAGATGATGACAGTACAATTCACATGATGCAAAGGCAGCGGCAGTCTGTCAGTTCCACCAGCAGCAGGCAGAGCTCAGGTATTCCAGCCAGTGACACAGGGAAGGTCACCAGCTCTTTTGCATTTGCCTTTGTGTGGGCATTCGGTGGTCACTTACATGAAAGGTATGACAAATGGATCATTTTCGTCTTCATTAAATACAAAAGCGGTGCATTATAAAATACCCGAACAAACATCCTCTCTCTCCATGGTTTAATAACTCCCAAAGCTGTCAAGTTTGTTTATTCAAAGAATGTGTTGTTATTTTATGTACCAAATTTTCATTCCTGAACCGACAGTGCGATAACATATTTATCATGTTCAACCCTGTAACTCCCAAGATCTGGCTAGTAATTCTCCTTTACGGCTGTTATGCATTTCTTTTTACATTACTTAAGAGAATTTGGCCTTATATCAAGATAATGTCCCGTATTCTTATCACCTGCCTTTTGGACAATGTATTGGTGTTACGAGGAGAAGTTACATGCAGATTACCTGTGGGAGTTAAAGGGTTAAGACATGATCCCAGCTGGTAGGCCACTGTCGCAATTTTACTACTTTCTTAATTTATTTCAGTTCACAGCTCATTTATCCACGGAAATTGGCCTGGATTTTCTTAGTTCATTATTCGATGCTTGTTCGGCATTTATTTTATCTCTCACTTCTGTTGGAATTACCTCATTCGTACTTAATTTCGTAATTTTGGAGAGACAGTATTTCGCGGGGTTTTATTTTCGCAATTTCAATAGGCAGTTACCAAAAAATGGCATTAGACTTCGCGATTCAAGCGTTCTTAACTTCATTTTGTGTTTCAAAAAAATGGAACTTTTTTATATTTCGGATAAACTGGAACAAGCAGATGAAGATGAAAGATATATGATGGCTCTACTCCATATGTGAAATCTTTGCAAATTAACCTTATTTTATAACAGAAGATACAAAATGGAGCTTATCGGTAAAACCAGTCAATAATTTGTGGATTTGTCGATGTACATATCCTGTATATAGTGTTGTTATTGCATGTTAATCATTTTTTTCTGTGGTTTGAATTGTCTATATGGGTATTAATTTTCGCGTTGTTAAAATTCGCGAGGATTTTTATTCGCGGGTCTTTTTTTTACAATCGTGAAAAACGCGAAAGCAAAATTAATTACCAATAAGGTATACGGTGTTGATATTTTCCGTTGCCTTTTTTTTTAGATACGCACCCAAGTTTAATGAGCATGCGCGGCAGCTCTTGTCCTCAGGCCCTTATCCTGTGTTGGTACCTCCTGATGGATCAGTGTATGATTACTGTTTGGACTTCATTAAAGGTGCACTGGTCAAATGGGATGAACGACCTGGAGCGCAGTTCAAGACACTGCCCTCATCATACACTGTTGTCTCTGAGGTAAAATACAAAAATCCCTCTTAAGACTAATAATAACCAAAGGTTACTGAGTGCGGGCGTCAACGATGGAAGGTCAAAACGCTTTCGTTCCAACGCTGTGCTTTGCGTAAGTTTCACGTGACAGATAGCCAAAACACGCCTAATCAGATTACGAGGGGTAGAAGGTTGAAATGCCTGTGATGAAATTGTGTTATGTGCATTCCATTCATTCTTAAGGGATCCAAACGAAAGCTGGCTACATACATGCGACGCATGCGTAATACCAGCCTGAAGATTAGGATTGCGAGCTCCTCTTGTAGCCCTCAATCTATTATTCAAGGGAGAATAAAGATACAGAGAGTAAAACGCTCAGTCTAGCCCATGGGATTTGTGAATTTCACCAAATTTATTCTTAGACCAATTAAACCCTTGAAATCAATTGGAAGTTGGTTTCAGGAGAGGTCCGCATACTTGGGGTCATTATGCTCTCTTGGTGTGTCGCCATTACATTATTTTGCTTTGTTTGCTTTGATGCAGTCGCGCGTGGACTTGATGAGCATTCTTTCACGCGTGATTAGTGCGCGTACATAAAAAATGGCGGCTCCTTTTTATGTCCAGATCTAGCCATAGGGGAGAGATCGCCATTTTCTGGTAAAAGAGTGTGGTCACCTACCATTGTTTTTTCTCTTTTTTAAAATTGAGTAATCTTCTTTCTATAGAAGAATTATAGGCACATTGCTAGTGCAGAGAAAAAAAATCGGAATCGTGTTAAGAGCTTGCACTCGTAAATATAATCATATTGATATTGTAAGGAATTATTGTGTATATACAAGGTGCTATTGCTCCTAAACGAGTATGGGGATCCCCCGTTATTATCACAAAATTTATGTTCCTATCAGTTGAATAAGCAATATAATAAGCAAGGTAAAGTTTGGCAAAAATCTCACGGCTGGTTCTAAATCAGAGGAATGACTTTGACTCATGGCCAGTATGTCCATTAGTGAATATGTTACCTTAAATCCTCTATTTACCCCACACCCCACCCCCACCCACCCCCCCCCCACACCCCCACCCCCCCCCCCCCCCTTTTCAGGGAAAGAAAGTTAATAAGCCCCTCTCTTTGAAGCCCCCCTACCCTCCCCTAATTGTTCTTCGCTAATTAATGTTAGGTTGTATTAATCAATCGCGACTATAAAGCATCGTGTGGACTGATCCGAAATGGTTTATTCACCAACTGGAAGTTCAGATTTGTTTTCAATTGTCGGCTGCATGACTGTACTTGAGCTTTTCCACTTTGCATTCTAGTTCTTTATGGAGAACTCATACCATCGTCGTTTCTAAATTGAATAAGCCACCCGTCTCTATTAAGCCCTTCCTCAAATGATCCTGAAATAAATAAGCCCTCCCGGAGGCTAAATAGAGGGTTTACGGTATGTTTATATACATACGGACTGTGCATTTTGTATCTTGTAGTTGGACCGGTACTTCTATTTGATGGACCTGATGGTGTCTTCCAGTCAGCCAGTGCTTTTAGTTGGTTCCACAGGAAGTGGAAAAACCTCACTTATGCAGGTTAGACTACAAATAAATCTTTGCATGCCTTTGTGAGAACTTCGTTAAGATCATCGCAGAAACGTGATAAAATGAAATTAACGTTAAAAATGGTAACTTAAAACCATTTTCATGCACGCAACAAGAGACGAACTCCACTTCCTTGGCCCAAATCATTTATGACTAGTTTCCTTGAGTTGGGAAGACCTTTCAAATAACACTCGGCCATTATTTTGCACTTGCAGACAGTTAAAGCATTCCTCTACTCTCCACAAATGTATGATAGTGTCTTCACGGCAGTTAGGTGTGCAATCTAAGCTGAGTTGCGAAAAAGCTCTCAAATTATTCCTGATATATTTTTTTCTGTAACCAACAGAATTTGATTTATCCACGCCATAACTTTACTCGAATATGCCTCTCGCCTGGTTCAACGTCTAAACTGCTACAGGAAGCGATTGAGCACAAACTTCAACTTATTCAGCGAAAGGAAATGAATCAGATGGCTCTTCAAAAGTCGTTAGCAGCTAATGCTCCAACATCAAAAAATCTTCCCGGCGTTAAATCCCGCACTCAGCTGCTTTTTCTGGATGACCTTAACTCTGCTGATGTGGATGAGTTTGGTATTCAACCTCCGCTTGAGCTTCTCAGGCAAATTCTCTCGCAAGGTAATAATATCCCTGTGACCTTGTAATAGGACATAATTAAACTTCCCGCAATCGACTACTCAAATACCTTTATTTGTTTGATGTTTACGAAAAGTGATAGCTTACGAGCGATTGAAACTTTAGTCCTTTGACTTGGAAGACTGATTTTTGATTTGGGTCCATAAACTATCCTTTCGGTGATCCAGTGTTCTTTAGTAGTGATTCGGCCATGATATACATCTGGGAAGTGGAGGAAACTGGGCTAATCTGGCGTGGGTTTAAACAATTAACAAAATAAATAATTTAGCAAATAGTTTCAATGTAGCTGGAAATTCATCCCTATTAGCACACACACTCTCTCTCTTTCATTCGCTTCTTCGAGTTCACATGGTCATCCTACCATGAAATGAGCTTAACCAAATCTATGACGTCAGTATGTAACACTGCGAATACTTACAGAAGATCGATCAGCGTTATTGTGTTGATCATAACAACTCACTTTATGGTTGGTCCTACTGAAAACCAGTTACTTTGTTTCAAATAAACATTGTTGTAGTAAATTGGGATTTTCTATTCTAGGGACGCTGTATAACAAGCAGCGGCATCACTCCTCTAGAGTTCAACACTTGAAGGTCATGGCTGCATGTGTACCACCCGGTGCAGCAGCATCCTGTGGAGGGGTGGCTTCGTACCCTTTAAGCCACCGCCTGTCCCGACTGATGACTGTTCTGTCGTTTTTTTCACTCTCCTCTGAGTCACTGCAGAGCATTTACAGTGCAGTGTTCCTGGCTTGGCTGGAAGAGTTTCCAGCTTATTCTCTGACCCATCATGAACAATTAGCAAAGGTAAGAATTAGATGTCATTATAACTCAGTACGTACAAGTATTCTGAGAGATAGATTGGCCCCTTTCAACTCTTTTCTTTGTGTTGTTAGCTTGCTAATATCGGTTCACAGTTAGTGAAGTTTTGTGTTATATTCCATCAACAGGCACTTTCATCCGCTACCATCAAAATGTACTCGGTTATTCAGCAAGAACTCCTCCCCACCCCTCTCCACCCGCACTTTCTGTTTACTCAGCATGAACTGTCCAGAGTGGTCCAAGGTATGACTTCTCTCTATTCCAAAACGCGTGGACGCCCAAGACCCCGTGCAAGAAGACGTACTGAAGGAGGTGGAGAAGTGGACCAAGAAAGTAAAGGTGCTGCCATTCCCGCTGCAAATAGTGATCAGAGTTTTCGTAACAAAGAGAATGGACAGCGGGGAGGGTATGTCGGCAAGGGCAGGAGGTAGGTGTGACATTATGACGCGCTAGACAGTAAAATTCTGTTCAAATATTTGTACATAGTTCACCCTGTGTTGCAATCAAAAGTTGCCGGATCATTCGACGTTTCTGGGAAACTGCCCACCTACCCCTCCCCTAAGCCAATATTAGCACTTGCTTCTCACTTAGGGCAAAATGTTGCTTTTAACAAAATGTACTTATGCCTTAAATAGTGCTCCAAATCAAACTTTACATCTATCTTTTTCATGTGTATTGATATCCTGAAGTGTCCCGAATTAGTTAGCATTGTTCAAATGTAGTTGACATTCGTTTATTGCTATCTATGATCATAGCAATGTGACAACCCTGTATAGAATATGTCATCTTTATTTTTTAGTTGGCCATCGTTGACAAGCGGTCCAAGGGAAACTGCATTATCCGCCAACACCCCAGCAGTTTTGTCGCCGATGATTCGTTCGTTACTTCGTTTATGGTGTCATGAAAGTACGCGGACTTACAGTGATCGTTTGTTGACTGAGCAGCAGCGCCATTGGTTCTCTTCGTTGTTGCATGAGACGGTCGAGGAGTTTTTCTGCAGAGACAACTCTGAAGTTAACTCTGAAATGTTCTCTGTAGAGCAAGCCGAGATTCAGCAAGGTTGGATATGTCCTTCTTTATATTGCTGTTTGCTATCTATGTATGGATTTTGCTCTAGAAAAATTTGATTGCGTTTCACATAGAAATAAACGCGTTGAGTATCCTTTGTCTTGGAGGCTGCCATTCCTGTCTGGGCGGATTCTTTGTAGTTTTAAATATCAATGTTTGGTTGACTGATTGACGTTTGCTGCCCAATCCACTGTTGGGTCAGTTTATTAACTGTTTCACCCCCAGGAGTGGGCAAAGTCATAATTCAACAAAATTTCCCCATTTCAGGAAAAAAAAACAAATAGCACTATGTGAAAATACTGCTGAAGAGACTTCATTTGAATGGTAACACCATAGGATTTCATTCACAGACTCAAACTTTGGAAAAACGTACCATATAAATAGCACTATGTGAAAACACTGCTGAAGAGACTTCATTTGAATGGTAACACCACGGAATGTCCTCCACAGACTCAAAAGTTAGAATTAGCTTACAAGACCCTAGCATTCACTGTGGAAGGGAAAGGATTAATAGTTGTTGTGATTTGTGGTTTTCACTCTTTGTTTTGCCTTCGCTGAAAGCCAGACAATTTTACTTTTCACAGAAATGGCGCCAGGTGTAAATGCACCTCCACCTACAGCCAGCTGTGATCAACTGAACAGTGCGGGACAAGATGACAATGATGAGTCGATGGCGCTTCCAGATGAAGAACATCGTGAATCAGGTAACGAAAGTGATGTCGCTCCTTCACTGAATGAAGAAGAAGAGGAACCTGGAGATGGTCTTACTGGTAAGACGTCAGTTGACTTTGTCATCTTCTTTTGTAAAGGCAGTTTAGATTTTAAAGAAATGGCGTTGGTTTTCAGACGATCTTTTAAATCCGTCAATGACTAATTGTATTCTTCCCTAATACGTTTTCTAGTTTCCCGCGGCATTAGCGGACACTATGAATTGTAATAATCTTCTAGTAATACCTTAATTGAGTTTATGATTTTATGTGATAAATTTTGGACGGCTGGGACAAAATAATAATAAATATAGTTTATTTCCCAGCAAGATGGTCATGATAACATGTGTTTTTTTCCTTTTTGCACTGCAGAGGAAGCGCAAGATGGAGTCATAAGTCCAGAAGGAGAAAAACAGGTCATAAATCAAGATGACCCAGCTGTTTTCATAGTTTCAGAGGAACAAGGTCTGAGCAGGGAGTGCACCGAGGTCGAGAACAACCTGGTAATTCAACCAACCAGAGTGAAGGTGACATTCGATGATAAAAGTGGTGCGAGCTACGACAAGAGCTATTCCGGTCCATTGATTTCTTCGGAACAGTTAGCATTTTCTGGTGAAGATCTGACAGACGTCATGTTCTGCAAACACTATAACGCCTCTGTAACTGGACGAGAAAGCAGTGCAAGTGAGGTGGCGAGTAAGAATTACCTGGAATGCGCGGAAAGCATCTTAGAGCAAGGGATCAAGAGATGGCTGTCATCATACAACGAACAAGTAGCTCACTCTTCGAGTGCAAAGATCGTGAACTTAGTGACTTTTCGCGAAGCACTTCAGCATGCTGCGCGTTTGAGTCGAGCTCTGGTAAGAATGATCTTTATTTTTTGACTACTCTCGTGACAAAATGACCGACCTTTCCTGCAATTTCCTTCAAACGTTTTTCGCTCAGATAACCTGCGATGGCTAATCAAGCAGGCAGCGCAGGAGTTTTTTTAAATTTAATCCGTCGCAGCTTTCTCCAATTTTGCTTGTCGGTGCTCGGTTTTTGCCTTTTCTTTCCTGTGGTCATCGCAATTTTTAATTGGTTATTGTGATATTTTAAATATATGACCGGTCAGCGAGGGCTAAATAGCAACACTTTAAGTTGGATGTGTTGTTTTTCTAGGCAATGCCAGGCGGCCATGCTCTTTTGTTGTCAAGTCTTGGTTACGGCAGAAGGACTCTCACAAGAGTTACTGCACACGCGGCCCGTTATAAGGTTTGTACAGATCCTCATCCACCCTATTACCACCTAGTTTAGGTGAAAGGCGCTCAGGAGAACCTTCAAGGATTGGTGTTCTCTAGTAGTAGTCCTTCGCAGGATAACCCACAGAAGACTCAGGGCTGTCATTAAGAGGCGGGGGCCGGGGATTTCCCGCGGCTACTATGAACGTGGCCCCCGGCTGCTTTCATAGGAAAATAGAAGAAAAATAGAACCAAACGAAATCCCTAGCCATTTGATTCTCCGCCTACATGTTGTATTTACCCTGCAACTTGAAATATGTCTTGAAGCATGTCGCTTTTACTCTGTTTAATACACCTGGGCGAAGACAGACATAGTGGAGAAAAGTTTCTTGTCAAAACAACAAAACAGCAAGACTTGAACCCGAACCTACAGAACTGAGGTTGGAGGTGTTAACTGCTCGGGCACCAAGCCTCCTTTTCCAAGGGATCATTATTTTTTCTGAATAATGAACCTTTGACCGGTGAATCAAAGTAGTATAGTGGAGACAGTTTACTCCTTTTTTCGAGGGGGAATAGATAAGTGCCGGTTACGTCATAGCCTTTTTTCTTTATCTCATGAATAATACGTCTTAGTGATTTTAACTCACTGTTGAGTAAGCACTTATTCCTTTGACAAAATGAATCAACCAATGAATACTTTTGTTAGTTTTTGGTTAACTTATCAAAAACTGTGTTTTTGTCGATCTAAAACCCGTCACACCGGTCAAACCACCGAAAAATAGCACATACTTATCTTAATGAAATTCCCCTGTATTTTATTCATAAGATAAAGATAAAAGGCTATGACGTCATTGGCGCTGATGTATTACCCTCAAATAAATGAGATCGTCCCTCAAAAAGGGAGTAATCGGTCCCTTCTATACTACTCATCAAACAGAGGACACTGCAAACGGCTTTCATCGTGCGACCAACCCGATATCAAGATTTGTCCATCATAACATATTGGTCCAATATCTGTTGATGAAAAGGCCAATAATGTTTGAACTTTGCTGCTCAGCAACTCATAACCCATTCTTTAGCAATTTTGTCTACACGGTCAATGTTTTTTTTGTCGCAAAATGTTTCCTTTTGTACAGTGACTCATCACTGGTATTGCAGTCTGAATACATGCCTTAATTATACTTGTGAATGACGATAGTTGGAACCTTCGCCTGGAATGCTCTGGTTTATGCCCATCTAAATTTTTATTGTCTTTTTTCACTGTTTTTCTTGTTTCAGCTGATTGAAGTACAACGCAGTCAGTTTCAGAGTCAAGAAGATTTGAGACAGCAGATTAAAATGGCTTCGTTTATTGCCGGCCTCCAAGGAAAACAGGTTGTGCTGTTTGTCCCCGAGGGCGTTAATGACAAATCAATGCAGGACATCTGTTCCCTGATGGCTGAAGGTAAATCTTAGCAGTGTGTGAAACAAGCTCTCACGCCCCACATCTGCAGAGTCAGTAGCCGATAGGAGGGCACGAAAATCTTGCCTTGTTAAGTTCAAATCGCTTTTCGAGCTTGGGTTAAAGAAAAACGTGATCACATGCCTGCCTGTAATCTCGTCTATTTTTTCTTTCCTTTTTTCTGTCATCTTACATTTCCCTTTTTGCCAATTATTCAGGTACTTGTCCTGGCCTCTACACTTCAAACGAACTGTTTATGATCTCAAATCAGCTTCTACCTGGTGGAACACGTGGCGCCCGTCGAGTAGAAAACCAAGACATAGCCCAGGAACGATACTTTCGCCGTATTAAATCGAACTTACACGTTGTGGTGTGTCTTAAGTACACACCGCTCAGCTTATCTACCGCCCCTGAAGAGAACCAATTGTACAGGTTTCCAGTTTTAGTTACAAGAAGCTGTTGTGTTGATATCTATCGCGCCTGGCCCCATAATGCGTTAGTCAGTGTTGCAGAAAAGCTTTTGGAAGAAGGAGAAAATGTACTTAGTCTTGTGCCACTAAAGAGACGAGAAAGACACTCGCAGTCGGCGGCGGTTTGTTCGATAATGGCTCACGTTCATTTGTCGTCTCGAAGCATGGTGGAGAAGATTTACGGAGTAAGAGCGTTGAAGTTTTATTCTCCTGACACTTACCTGGATTTTGTGGATCTTTTTAGGAATATCTGTGAGCGCTTATGTGTAAAAGAGAAGGTACGTGTATTTCTCTTATTTTGCCGTTCTACTCGCCACATGTACCAGCATAAGGCTCTTGGGCTTGCGTCCAACCTGCAGTTGGCCCCGAAGTCTCGTCTGCTTATGCTTGCATCGTAACCGTTCAAATGAAGTTAAATTGCAACTTATCCCCTACAGGAAGAAGTGACCCACCTTGAGAAAGCGATCAAAAGAATAGACGAGGCTACCAACAGCCTTAACAAGATGCAGCGCGAGCTGGATCAGCTGGCACCAGTATTTGAAGCGTCTAAGACAGATGTGCAGCTACGACAAGAGGCAGTGGAAGCCTGCCAGAAGGAGTATGCTGCGGCAAAGGAAACGTGTAAGAAGCAGGAACAAGATATCGAATTCATGCAGGGCCCCATTGAGATACTGAAAAGAGAGGCTCAGGCTGAATTTGAGAAGGTTAGCAATCTTCACTTTTATTCTTGACTTGTAGAATTCTTACATGAGCTGCCTGCTTCTACCCTTGGCAAAATAAGCCAAGAATTAGGAACGACTGCTTGTCCATTGCTGAAGATGAAACCTTAGTCTTTTGGCTTCCTTGTTTCGGTCAAACCTGGACTCTACTATGGGCCCTAACGTCACCCAAGGAGACCCACACACCACTTCTCAGACTTCACGCGGGCAATTGGGCAAGAGAGAACGCCTGTGCACTGGTTTTAAAAACCGACTATAGAACAGTTGTCGTTGATTAAAGTAGACATTATATTAGGGGTAAGATGCCTGTTTATTGGGAAAGCCCTGCTCTGGGGGCGAGGGGAACAAACTTCGGACAGTCGTTACTCGAAAGTTAGCCCTCGTTTATTTGTTGCAAATGAATCTTTGGATAAGTGACCGCCGACTGCAGAGGTCACGTGTGGTGGTTCAGTGTTCCAAGCGTCACTTGAACATCATTCTACCAGCTACAGTGAAACCCTGATACGGCGAAGGGCCAAGGAACTAGCGAAATATGATTTTTTTCAATGTTCTACTATTTTCGGGACGAACAATGTAGCTCGTTATACAGAATTTGTAGTGTACTGCTGTTTTGACCTGTCAAACTACTTGTTCTTTATTACTGGTTTAGGTGAATCCTCTTTTTGATGCAGCCTGGAGAGCCATTGATTCGTTGAATATTTATGATGTTGAGGAGATTCGAAGTTACCGGACCCCACCAGAGCTTGTCACTCTAGTGGTGGATGCAATATGTCTCTTGTTTAAAAAAGAACAAACGTATGTATTGAACGCTGGAATGTTCACTTAAGTAAAGGCAAGAGAGTAGAAAACCTCTTTATCGCCTTCCAGAGGGATCATTTTATTTTGCTCGAGACGATACTTTTACTCTACTCTAATATCTTCTCAAAGACTTATGTTAGATCAAGAGCAATAAATACGACATTGATAACACATAAAAGGTTTGATCATGAAACGATAAACATCCCATATTGTGCTCCTCCGCTCGTCTTCCACTTACCAGTTAAGCGTAATGTTGGTTTATAATCAAGAGCTTAAAGCAATGCTGTTCAGCTTCAAAAAACAATGGCATAATCCGTTTGTTTTGCTCAAGTATTCCTTTTTTCGGAGGAGGAGCACGACAAAAATAATATAACGGTATACGTTTAGCTCCTACCAACCAACTCAGACTAATTTATTTCCGTTCTATTTCTGTTTTAGGTGGGAAGAAGGTAAACTTCTTCTCAACCGAAGTAACTTCTTCAAAGACCTTGAATTCTACGACATGAAAAGCATGCCAGACTCTATTTTCCGTGGACTGAATCTGTTTTATAACAATCCAAAGTTCCGGCCGGAGATAGTTCAGGAAGGCAGTATGGCGGCCAAGTCTCTGTGCATGTGGGTACGGGCCGTGTATGAGTTCTGTTTGGTGTACAGAGCTTTGGAACCTAAACGTCAGCAACTGGCAAGAGCTGAACAGGAACTTGAAAAGGTGAAAGAAGAGTTTAAGAGTTACGTTTACGCCAAACGGGAAACGTGAATTTGAATCACGTCACCAAGTTTCTCCTTAATTGACGTGTACTGTCTATTGCTTTACGCAAAAATAAGTAGTTTCACGCCGATTTTATCCATAAGAATTGTTCGGGCAGTTTATATCTGCTTATTTTCTATTCTGAGAAATTCTCAGCTAGAATCTGACGTTTGCCGTTTGTCGTAAACGTGACTCTCCATCTCCATAAAAACTACTTTTAAATACCCAGCGGGAGCCACCACATAGGAGAGAGCATTCTTTCTGTTCGTGCATAATGCAAATCTGTTGCTGTCAATCTTTCTACCATCCTCAGCCTGCTAATCAGTGTATCTCTCTCTTTAGTTGTTTTGTCTTGTGTCTGTTTTTGCGTCCGTCTGTTGGGCGGCGATCAATTTTACCTTGAATAATTTGGAGGGTAAATGAAATAACATGCCTTATTTCTCTTTACAGGCAAAGTCCATCCTGGGAGAAATGCGAGTAAAATGCAATGCTATCAAGCAGGAATTGGAGTCCAATATTCAATTGTACAAAGACAGCGTCAAGCACTCCAGAACAGTTGAAAAACAGATCCAAGTAAGCCGATACTTTTGCCTTTATTACTGATTGATTTTAATTGATAGCATACAGCGGAATAAACAGTATGCCATTGAAAGAACTCCTCACGAATTTTTTTTAACATACTTCCAGATGGATTGCACCCGCCATAGACTCAAACGTGTAAACCCCTGCAGGGTGCAAAGAAAGTCAGTTTTACACCTTGCCATTCGGGCAAGCTGTAGCTAGCACGTACTAGCCCAAACGTTATTTCAACTAGCCCGAAAAAAAATTTGATGAGCATTGGTTACAGTTCTTCTGTAATTTGAATTCCCCCAAAAAACTTCATTTGCCCATCGGGCTAGTTAAGAAAAGAAATCACTAGCCCAGTGGCAAAATGCACTAACCCCGGACTATCGGACGCTACTTTCTTTGCACCCTGCCCCTATCATCATCGTCGTTATATATTATCACACGGAAATTACTGCTTTGTCTCTTTCCTTTGAAATAAGTATAACCGTAAAAACTTGCAGATATTAGAAACGCCTTGTCACGGTACTTACTTTACCGCGAGGATTTGCAAGTCATTAGCTTTGAACAACAACTATGTAAGGTTAGATTTGTTCAATGTACAACCTAATACATCATGCTGTAGTTCTCGAAGGAGTTGCTGCGGTAGCAACATTTCTATCGTCTACACTATGAGTTGTAAGTTTTGTGATTCACGCTGGCATTTTTCCACAGAGCATAGAAGCTGTGAAGGCCAAAGGAGCTGCTTTGGTTGACAGTTTGTTCACCTACTCTGACCTGTGGCACAGCCGCCGGTCAAGCGCCCAACAGCGTCTCCTCACAGCACCAGGTGACGCGCTGGTCACAGCTGCTGCTGTTTGTTACTTGGGTCCGCTTGCACCCGCCGCCCGCGAGCATCTCTTTTCTGATTGGCTGCAAGTGTGTGATGGCACTTCCCGAGATACCAAGGAGCGGCTTCTCAGTTTATCTTCAATGGTACTTGATGATGTACGAAATAAGACTTCTGTTGATGATAACTGTACAGGTAATAAGAATGGACCCACGGTTGAATGGATCAACGTACCCTCTAAGAGCATTATATACTGTGGCCTTGCAAGACATACTTACGACGTAAGCATGAAAGCAAGGCATGAGGGCCACATCGCAATTTAATTGTATAAAATGGCAGAAGCGCACCCTGCAGCTACGACAAAGAATAGTTCTCACAAATGCTGCGCTGCTGTGCTTTGTAATAATCGTCCCTATTATAGGAAAGACTTGACGTTTCATTGTTTCCGAACGATCCTTGTCGAAGGTTAGTTTCTCCACTGTCCACTTTCCAACGCACGTTCATTTACTATAACTGCTCCAGGAATATCTTTTACGGTTAATTTCTAATCTTAAAATAATCACAATCGTTCTTGTTTTCGCCGCCCTATTTACTTTTTTCAAAGATTGCGGGAAATCTGGTGGCCCTTAGGCCCGGCTTTCATGCTTACGTTGTAGGTGTGTATTAACGTGCATCGAATTTAAAGTTTACCCTTTAAGCCCCGTTTTCCAGATACAAATTCTCCAAGCTGATCTTAATAGTTTTCCCTATAGAATAAGTTGAGAGAACTTTTTGGAAGATCAAAACATTTTCCGAAGGCTGATCACTTTATTAATTCTCACAAAATTTTATCTGGATCTGATCATCAGGAGAAAAATGATTTTGGTCAGTCTTGGGACTTAACCTATTAAGCCCCAATATCCGCATACAAACTCTCCACAATGATCTCCATACATTTCTTGAAAATTTGACAGATGATCAAATCATTTTACCTTTACTGACCATATTAATAATTCTCATAACCCAGTCTCTTGATGGTGTATAGATGTTGTTAGGAGAAAATTGATGTTGGTCACTCCTGAGTCTTGGGTCTTAAATGGTTAAAATCCTTTACCAATCAATAGTGGCAGGCCAAATTGCTATGTACAAGCAGGGTGGAAGAAACTGGGGTCTACCTTGAACGTCTTCATTGAACCGGGGAAGTGTACGTTCGCAGTTTACCCTTTTGTCTTTTCTTTAATTTTGCTACATGTGTTATTTAGTTCACAAAACTCACGACACTACTAACGGCGCAAACAATTTTTTACAGGTAGAGAATCTCGCCCCACAACACAATCAACACTTGCATCAACCCTCGCCACCGGCAATTTACCACTTCGCAAAGACGTGTCTTTACAGACGATACTATCTTCTCCCAACGAGGTGGATGAGTGGAGGCGAAATGACTTACCAACTGACAAACATGCTTTACAAAATGTGTTGATTCTGCGGAGCTGTGGCGATGATCGATCAAGAGCGTGGCCTTTGTTGATTGATCCACATAACCAGGCCGAGTTATGGATAAGAGCTCTTCACGAAGGTGAAGCCTTTTGTTATCATCATCATCATCATCATCATCATCATCAACAGCAACAACGACATCATTTCTCTGTCAGTACCGCCTTACTCCATGTTCATTAATGTCTTTTTTTGTTGTTGTTTTTATTTCCTCTAGATGATGCCTTGGGGAACCAGAGCCGTCCTGGGACTCGATTGTCAGACCGGTCATCCACGCGGCAGTCCAGACGATCATCCATTGAGTCTGACCCAGCTGCTCTGGATTATACTCATCTTGAGCAATCAGGAGCAGACGAATATGAAGCTGATGCACAGTTCTCTGATAATGAAGTGGACCAATTCCTACAGTCGCTGAAGGAATCGGGTAAACTATCAGTCAACATATCTTCGAGAAAACCCAGCGTACTTGTTTAGCTTTCGTTTTTGTTGCTGTTTTTGTTTTTGCGACTACTTAAGGAGATGGCGTGTCCGAGCGGCTAGAGGCCTGGGCTTTTAATCCAGGGGCCGCGAGTTCTAGGCCAGCCCTGACCGCTTGCTGGATTTGTTCACGGTGTAAAATAGCCAACTGGTTCACCTCCTATCACTTGGGATTCTTAACTATGTTGTTTTCCATTTGAGTGATTACTTGTTTCATTATCCCTTGGGGAAAGGATAATTAAGTTTAAGTGTTATAGATATTTTGACTGGACTAACTGATGTTGTCGTCATTGCAATCAGGTGACCAAGATTCTATCTTCCAAGAATCAGAGGCTGCAGTCACTTCTCGGACCGAGCGGACAGCAGGAAGCGGTCTGAACAGCGGTCTGACCATGACGAGTGAAAGGATGCTTACAGATAAACTCGCAGAAACCATGGGTATCCAGGTACGTATTAAGAAATGTCTGGGCTTGCCAATTGTTTTGAACAAATCCAATTTCCAGTTCCTGATTATTGAAAGTGTTTGTTATACATGATAACTTGAAACCTTCATAGAAATATAGGTCGTTGTGATACGGTTGAAATATGAATTTCGTCTGACCTCAGACGTCCACCTTTCGGAAATGGTCTACTGGTTAGTCTACTCGTACCATTTCGGATTCTTCATTTTTCTGTGTTCCAGTTTATCCATATTGTAATTTATCTTTCTCTTTATTTGTAGATGGAGAACTCGCCTCAGCCGGTGCCTAGTGGACCCACACCAGTTCTAAATCTCAGTGGAGGTGACATTCTTATCGTGCCAGTGGATGATCCAGAACTAAGTAAATATTATTTCCTTGTTATTGCCGGCTGTATCTCCTTTGCTGCGGAAGGACAGGGGCGGGGATGCCCGGGAGATTAGGGGGTCGGAGGGATACGGGACGCGTGGATGGAAAGGGTGGGAAGGAGTGCCAAAAGAGCGAAAAAAATAGGGGAATTTACGCGAAAATGCTTAATATTCCGCAACCGAAAAAGGGCTAAAGGGAGGAAGCCAAAGAAAAAGAGATGGGAGCTGGGAATGAAAGGTACGGGAGGCGGGCGTTTTGGATTCCCCCCGCCCTCCCCGATAGTGAGGTAGATCGTAGAGTACAGGATTCGTCTCGGTTTCCTCATTATGTGAGAGTTAAACTATGAAATTTCATGTGCTCACAAATACTTTCTTGGATTAAATTCCCTCACCATCCCTTGCTGAAGGTTTTAAAGATCCTAAAGCCTGAATACTGTCACCTGTCTTAAATATTTTCCAGGGCCTTGCCTAACCGTATCAAATATCTATTTTTGTAATTCCTCCAGTTGAAAAACTCCGAGCAGCCGTCAGACGAGGCCTGGTGACGCTGGTGACACATGTGGAGAGAAGACGCTGGAGTAAATCATTAGAACTGCTACTTATGCGACAAACCTTTACCAACACTGAGGGAGTACTGCAAGTAATCATAGGCAAGACTGCTGTGGATTATAACCCTTCATTTAGGTTGTACCTCAGCTCTTCTCAGCCTTTGTTCATGACTGGTGAGGGACTATACCCACTGCCTTTCTCGAAGGTCTGTACCATCAGTATGGCTGTCAGCCGAGAAGGGATCTGTGATATGCTGTTAGCGGATACATTACGTCTTGAGAGGCCTGAGTTTGAAGGACAGCTGAGATCGGTGGAAAGGGACGTTGGTCTCCATAAGCAGCAGATATTCCATGCTAAGGTAACTCTTTCCTATTCATGATTCATCGGGCATCAGCTTTGCAATGTGGCTTAAACCTCCGAGCTAAGCTTGAGGCTCTTTAAACGTCAGACATTGGCCTCCCAAAAAAAAGAAACCGCAAATTAACCTGACAATCTGCCACTAATCATCACTTATCATTAGTTTTGTTGGCTTTTGAAAGTAAGGCAATGAAATTCGTAGTTAACAGTAAAATGGGCTTGTTTGTGTCTTTACCATTATGGCTTCAGGCTGGCAAAACGTAACATAACTTTCGAGAAACAGGCCCCCTGATCAGTTGAACTACTGGCAAACCCGCTTTACAGACACCCGTTTAGTGTGGACACCTCATTATTATGAACAGTTCGCTTTGTCCCTTTCGGGGTAAAGCCCTCACATTTTCTCTAAATTGAACCCGCTTAATACGGACACCCCGTTAATACGGACACTTTCTGTGCCCCCCTCAGTGTCCGTATTAACAGGGTGTAACTGTACTTGATTTTGCTTATTGTGAGTAGTTTAACGCTTTAAACCCTAAGCTCAAAATTTGAATTCTCATTTGTAGTCCCTATTCATTTCCTACAGAAGTAGTGGGGAGAAGTCGATAAAATGTCAGGCAAATTCATCTTGTGTGATCATGTCCGTAATTCTTATGATCACTTTGTTTTACAAAGCATTGATATTACAAGGAGAAAATTGATGCTGATCACTCTTAGGGCTTATAGGTTTAAGCTTCTGTTTTGATTTGCTTTTGCGACATTCAACTAAAATTCAGGCGTTATAGTTTATCTTATTCGCTAAGTGCGTTTCTTACATTCTTCTAAAGGAGTTTATCCTGGAGAGAGTTCTTAACCTTGGCGGTCCCCTGTTAAAAGATTCAGCAATGCTGGAGTCTGTTATGCAGAGCAAAGAGGACATCTGCATGGCAGAAGAAGGATGCCATGAAGCTGAGGTACTGTAGACCTGTTTTTACCTTACTTGCCTATCAATTATGCAATGTTGGAATACCTATTCTAGTTATTGTCGTTTCTCAGCAAGTTGATTGTAGAACGTTTTTGTTTATTGTTCTTGCAGAAAATGAAACGGGAACTGTTGGCGAAACAAGATGATTTTTTGTCCGTAGCTCAGCATGGGGCCTTGTTATTTGTGGTGTTATCTGAACTTCATAAGTTACATCCATATTACCGCTATCCACTTGAGTCATTTTTGAAGCTATTTCACGTCACCATAGCTGAGAGGAACCGCGGAAAAAAGAGCAGTGGCTCACCTGCTGCAAGGGCGGCGGAACTTATCACAGCCTTATCGAGGAAAGTCTTTGATAGGACTTCATGGAGTTTGTTCCAAGGTGAGAACTCTTCTTGTTGAACTCTTTTCTGTGCACCAGAAGAGAGTTCTTTAGTCGACGACGAAAGCACGATGAGTGTTGGCATACCTACATTCTTTGATTGTGACCCTTATTTAAATCTTGATCGCTGACATGCTGGGTTTGCCTACAACCAGCTACTGTAGATTGTAAGAGCCACTGTCCATGCGTTTATTGCACACCGATGCTGTACGTTTATGTTACGCGCGTAGCCGGGCGCCCTCTTGCCTCCAACTTACATTTCCTTATCCCGGATATATTTCATCCATTCTTTTTTATGGACAAAGGCAAATTATAGAGTACAAAGCAACGCTTGGCCTTACTGACTTAAAAAGTGTTCTGGACTTCAACTGAGCACACCTCTAGTTAATCTTGTGTCCCAAGTTGTAAATAAGCTACCTGTGGCCGGCTTTAGTTCTTCGACACGTTGATCAAGTATCCCAGCTTATCTTATGATTAATATGACTTGCTGAAGGTAGGTCAGAGAAAGAAAATAGAAAAGAGAAATATGAGAAGTCAGTGGCCACAGACAACTAGGAGTAAGGGTGAGATTCACTTTATCTCACTTACCCATCCATTTTTTTCCGATAGCTGACAATCACTTGTTTCCATTCTTGCTGGCTGTGGAAAAGATGATGAACAAAGGGATTGTAACTCGTGAAGAATGGCAGATATTCACGCGGATGTCCATTGAAGCTCAAGTAGATTCCAATGCAAGCAATATTGATTCTAGTGCTGCCAATACTGATCAGTATGGATATGACAATATTCAGAAGCCACCTTGGGTGTCAGATCAGGCTTGGGATTGTATTGATGAGTTGGAGGTGCTTCCTGCCTTCAGTGGTCTTAAACAGTCTGTAGCTAAACACTCAGAACAGTGGCGAGAGTATTTTAATGTAAGTTCTTTTGACTGTAACTGGGCATTTACTTTCACATGGTGAAAACGTCGGGTCGTTCATTTCCATAATTGCCATTGTATCGTAAAGTGAAATCTCTCTAATCTAGACAATCTAGACAGACAATCTAGACAATCTAGACAGAAAACGGACAGATCCAACTGTCCGTACTACAGATGGAAGACGTGCTATTATTATAGAGGTAAGAAATGCATGAGGTTTGTTTTATTCCAGACAAATAGAAGTGTACCTTAGTGAGAAGTATCCGTATTATGAAGTTGTCCGCTACGACTAATGCACTGCATTATATTTTTATAAGCGTTCCGCGACTCGGGAGCAAGCACTCATATACTTACTCTGTTTATATTCTTTTATTATTCCATGTAGTTGCCCCCAGTCCTCCTCGGCATCACACCAGGTGGCTACGCTCATCTCACCGTTTTCCAAAAAGCTTTGTTGTGGAAAACTGTTCAACCAAATCAGGTAACTTTGTGTAGGTGTCAAAGTTTCAAGGTTGACAGATGTTGACATCGATTATTTGGCTTTATAAAAGAACTAAGATAGTACGCACGTTCTGATTGGTTAAAAACCTATGGTTTATTGTGCCGGTAAACCCATAGAAAGTGTGGTCTATTGCTTAGTTACTCTCCTTTAGTAAATTAGAAAATCTCTTACTCGGTTTTCGCTTATCCTTTTCATGTTGTGTATTTTGTTGTTAATCATTTGATATTTGAAACGCGTTTTCTTAAAACGGACTCTATTTAATTCCTATTTCGATTTTTGTTTTAACTGACACTGATTCAGAATGTGATAAGTTTGCACCCGCTGGATACGCGACGTAAAATATGCACGGCAAGGGGTCGGTGATGGCGGTGGGGGGGGGGGGGGAAGGGGTAAACAAAGAACAGATAAGCAGGAAAGCAAAGTTTAACTTAAACAATAGTGCACTTAAACTATTTTTCATTTTTCCAACGCCTCGCAGGTTATTTTTTTATAAAAGTTGTGGGCCCCCGCCGCACGGTCCGTTCGTGTAGATTTTTTAAAGCGGTTCTTTTTTTTTTCTTTTTTTTTTTTTTTTTTTACGCGCACAGAGTCAAAAGGTGGGAAATGTGGCCCCGCGGGGGAAGGGGGGAAAAAATGGGGGGGGGGGGGGGGGGGGGGGGGGGGGGGGGGGGGGGGGGGAACGGGTGAATACAAGAACATGAAGTAAGTCAGCAAAGTTTAAGCTAATCAGATGTTGACTTCTACTTTGTTTTAGTTGTTCCACGTTTGTCAGGATATTGTGTTATATCAGATGGGTGCCGCCATGACTCAGTCCGTTGGATATGACTTACAGCTGGTTTACCCGGTCACAAGTCGGTCCAGACCTGTATTATTTCTCCTGCCTTCACAGAGAATTCTTAGCCAAGGAGAGTCAAACGTATTTAAAGGTAAATCTTTCTAAAAGACGGCAGCCTTAAAAAAATCTAAATGTAATGTACAGTCGAACCTCTCCTTAGGCCCTGTTGATATTTATGTTTATATTATTGCCATGTAGAAGGGTCACTTACATGCCCAAGCTACCCTGGGGCCAGCCACCTTTTCTTAGTAAATTTCCTTACAAAAGTTGGCAAACGTTTTACATAAGAAACAAAACGTTGGCTCGTCTAGAAGCCAAGTCATTCTCCTGGCCGGACAAACGTTTATCCTTACAGCCCAGCTAGGTTAACTCGGTCAAGGCGAGACAATCAGAGCATGCGTGAGCGCTGTCAACTCTTCACTCGGGTGAAGGGGTAAACCTTGCTTTCAAAATTGACTCGGATGGGAGGGGAGGGTAGTCCTCTTTCCCGGGACAACTTTTCTGCATATTGAAACGAGGCCCTACTGACACGTCCACAGCAAGATGAACACCTCTGTTGCTCCGCTGGAAGAAAATTATATTTCTCTTGTTAACTTGGATATGATCCCTATGAATTCAACGCGAGGATAGGGTTCACCTACATTTGATAAAGTGAGTTGATAGGAATATTCGCGATAAAGACTGAAAGAACGCAAATACACTTTTAGAGCGACGTTCTCGTTGCCGTCGCTTCGTTGGATCCTAAAGTCCCTTATATAAGTAACAATCTACACTCGTCCATTCTGGTTTCCCGTTTGTACGTTTTACTAAATTTAGACTTGTGTCTTGTAGACCCAGTGACGGATGTTATCAACCTGGCTCGTTCGCATAATAAGATAGAATCTCTGGTTAAAGTAACTTTTGGTGAAACTGATGATATGGACAGAGCTTTAGCAGCTGTAACGCAGGGCATGATAACAGGATGTTGGGTAATACTGGAGAACTGCCACTTGGCAGCAAGATGGTCAGAAGAATTCTTTCACCAGCTAGAGGTAGAACTGGGGTCTAAATGCGTCCCGTACTTCTTTCTGGGATCGTTACTGGGGACACCCTGGTCAACTATTGGCCAATTTTTTTCCTGTCTCTTGTAGCAGTCCCAGAAGTCTTTGCGAACGCTAACTCGTATTTTTCGCAGTTTCCCTCTCGTTTAAAGTGGCGAATGATGTAAAAGATGAGTTCTCTTTTGGTCGTAGAAAAAACGGGAATGCTGTTAAGAGCTACCTTGAATTGTTTTAAAATAAATTAACTGTACCGGGCACTTTAACTGTTACCTGTTGTCGGACTTGACCGAGCTGGCTTTTAACAGTCGACATAAAAAAAGAAACAACAACAACAACAGTTTATTCAGTTGTCAAATGAGTTAGGTCTATGTTACCCGCAATTAGCGGAGCTATTCTAGGTGGGCAACAACACAATAATTGTCTTCTATAAAGTCGGCAAAATAACGTAAGTAAAGAGAAAGCAAAAATAAAATGTAATAAATGAATAAATAAAAAATAAAAGGTAGCTTTGAGCACTTTAATGCATAGTGTGTGTACACAGTTGTAACTTTGAATGCCTTTTCTTCAACAGACAATTGTAAACATGCCAGAGATAATCACTGAGAATGAAACAGAAAGACAGTTTACCGGAAGTAGCTCCGAGGAAAAATCGGAAATGACGGCAGAAGTAGAAACGATGCTTGTCCACCCTGACTTCCGGTTGTGGCTCACCACTCGACCGGATGTCGGATTGGTATTACCCGCAGTTGTTATTCACTCCGGTATTAAACTGGCTTGTGAGGCACAGGAGAATTTAAGCGACTCTGTACGAACTAATTGTCAAGTAGCCCTCGGGTCAATGAACAAATGTACTCCTATTTGGGGACCTGCTGCAGAAAAGTCTGTTTTCAAGGTAAATGTGCTAACCTCATAAGGTCCATAGATTCTTATTTTTAAGATGTTGATGTAGGTACATACTTCCACTACTTTAGCATTCTTCTACAGCGTAAATTTCCCAGTTGGTGGAGGTGGCTAAGCACATGAAAACGGTCAAACGGGGAGGGGGGGGGGTGGGAAGAGAAGCCTTGTTTGGAGTGGCAGGAGGGAGCTCCGCATGATAGGGGCGCTTTCTGTGGCAAGGAAATGATGGGCGGAAGATGTTAGGGGTTGAGATGTAAGCAAACGAAATGCGTCGTAAACGTGCTGAAATGATTGTTTCCGTTCCACTTAACTACAGATCAACGTAGTTTTTGCCCGAAATTCTAGATATTTGGACAGATTCCGTTTACTCATATTTACCACCTTATAGACTCCTTGCAGTCCGCCTTTTCTCTTAAAATCCGTCTAGTTCTTATCCCTTAAAGTTGACGCAACTTGTGTTTGTAAAACTTGATTAAAAGCCTTAAAGGTTGCATAAAATTGTTGAACAGTAGGATTTTTGATTGTAGCTCTGTAGGACACATATCCTTTCCTCTTTACTTGTAGAGTGAACTTAACCCCTACACGATCTTCAAGTTGGCATATCTTCATGTTTCTCTACTCCAACGTCGAAAATATGGAGAGGGTGCATTTAGCTGCCCATATCAATGGTAAGTTTGACAATATATTAAGCTATAACACGACGCAGGTTTAATTACAGTTTGCGCCACAAACTACGTCTGAGGAACTCGTGCAGATATTTCATACTGATGACCTGTCACTACCCAAAACGATTTGGGTAGTGCTTCTGAATGGGTGAAGCAAATTTCCCTCGCCGCACGACCAATCAGAAGCACCACCCAGATCTAGGTGGTGACACATCAGCAGTATGGAATTTTATTCCTCATTTCGCGGGGAAACCACGAAATGTGGGCTGTTTTTTCACCCCACAGTACCCAGAAACGTACACTTTTACTTCATCTTTTGTGTAAATAATCGACAAAGCTAGTACCATGACGTGGATATTCTTGGTATAATTGTCTTACTGAAGCTTTAAGTTAATAAGGTTTCTGTCTTCTTAAAGGCTTCAAGCGGATTTGCTAGCTGGTCTACAAGCCTTACGTCACACTTCTCGTGCTTGTAATTCTTCTTTATCTCTCGCTGCTGTGGAAGTCATGTTGGGTCATGTCACGTACGGTGGTCACGTGACTAATGGCTTGGACTTGAACGCTGTGAAATCTATGGCGAGATGGGACGCAACTGTACAATCAAGACCGGTCAGTTTCTACATTTTTTTTGTTTTGTTTGCTGTTTTCCTAGATTTAATCATATTTCTGTTCATATTAGAATTCTCTTGATAACCGAAGCTTTGAGTGTGGTGAATTTTGTTATCTTACGAACGCTTCTTCTTCGTCCTTTTGTAGGATCAAACTAAGGATGTTCTAGAATACAAATATCTTGACATCTACATCGACAGCTTACCAGACACTATATCATGTCAGGAGCTGGGACTTACTGAGGCTTCGTCCTCTACTTATCAGGGTAAACTCAGCAGGTATGTTTTGTACTTCTGCAGCCTAAAAGATGATCAATGGAATGATATATCTAGAGAGAAGAACTCAGAAATCCAGAAACAAAAAGGGTTATTTTATAACTGACTGACAGTCGTACTGTGGCAAGTATTATTTTGGACTGTGATCGAAAAAGTGTGAAGCGCCGAATTTATTATGGCATGCGTCCTCTTCTGTTAAGAGCGCTTGGAAAATCGGTCCAAACGTCCAAACTCAGATTCTTCTTTTTCCTAACGTGGAACGCTTTGAGACAACAGATCCTGCCCAACAATCCCTTACTACTCCTTAAAGAATGTTTTTTTTTCTCTCATTTCAGTGCCGTTGTGGATTGTTTAGCTCTTTGCACAGGACTTCAGCCTCCACTGCTGTCAATGGACAATGAAGTTAAGTTGATTGCGAAAAAAACAGTCAATCAAATCTCCACAATAATCGAGTCTGTTAAGTCACATGACCTTGCACACGAAGCTCCCACAAGTGTTACGTCATTTATTCAGAGAGAACTTGCCTTCTTCAAAACTCTATTGGAGGAAGCCAGGCAGAGTCTCGAACTTCTCATCAAAGCTTGCTGTGGTCTCATTGCGTTTACACCGGGTCTTTTTAAACTAGCTTTGTCGCTTGGGCACCGTTGGACCCCTTTAAAATGGCTAAGTAACCCAGGAACGGACGTTAGTCTAGCTGCTTGGATGGTGAATATTTCAAAGCAAGTGAAAAAGCTCGGTGAATACTTACTTTCGTCACCTGTGCATCCACCATCGTTTTGTCTGGGCGCGTTTGCTCATCCTCAAGCTTTCTTAGCTTGCGTTCTAATGGACCATGCTCGATCAGCCATGAAGTCTGTCTACGCTCTAGAGTTTTCGGTCGAGGTAAGCACTTGTCTCTTGTTTCTCTATGAATTAGACAGAGGCAGCGTGGCCGGGCGGTTTGGAGCGTTGGACTTGTTATTCGGAGGCCCCGAGTTCACGTCCCGCTCTGAACGCTGGCTGGATTTGTTCTCGTTAGTCCCGAGTTTAAATCCTCGACCACGCTTGTAAATAGCAAGCTGGTTTGCCTCCTCCAGTTGGAATTCTTAACCCTGTTTCAAGTTTGGCGTTTATGATATGTTTCGCGTATTTTGCTCGACCCCACTAGCATAAGTGCATAAAATACCGCCGAGTGTAAATAACGGAATTACTATTGTTAGTTGTGGGCAACTTAAGTGAATTAAAGGTTTCTTCGTCTCAGTATAAACGCCTTTGAAAAGTATCACTTTTTTAGTATCCGCTTATGCACCTCTTAGACAACAGTGGTCTATTTTCCTCGCAGTTGTTACAGCCAGACACTCTCCCTACCTCTCCACCAAGTCGAGGAGTGTATCTCAGTAACTTGAAGCTGAATGGAGCATCATGGGATACAGGCCGTAATTGCATCTCTGAACTTCTCGCAAATGGGTCCTGCGACCTGCCAATCATATGGCTAAAGCCAGTGGAAGTTATACGGTCACGTGCACCTTCAGCAAAGATGGAAAGACAAGGCAATGATATTCCCTTGTTTGACTGTCCGCTGCTAACCGGACAAGACTGGGGAACAGATTTCTCTACTTTAGTTACCAGTCTTCCTCTACCCTCAGTTGTACCTGGAGAGATTTTAAAGCAACGAAGGGTATCGATTGTATCGATGTTGTAATAAAAGGGTGCATTCTTATTGCACGTGTTTATGTTATAGAGGTTAAACAGAGTACTACTGAAGTGACGTGTTTAACGCTACTGTCAAAGCAAATTTTAGAAAAATTGTATTATTAGCAGAAAAATGCAATTCTTTTGGTATTTTGAGGTTGGGAACTGTTTCACCGTAAGTGTGTGCAAAAACTAAAAACTCTGCGGATTAACGAGAGCTCCTGTATAAATTTACTATGTTTTCATTCGTAAGCATACCTCTGTAAATAGATTTGTTAATATTTTTGAAACTGGGTGTGTCAAATTTGTAAAAAAATCTTTAACTTAATATTTATGAAAGAAAGCACTGTCCTTGTATTCAGTCTAAAAATACCATATTCAAGTGAAGATAATAAAACCGAATGTCTGAACTGTGCACTGCACTGTAATTTTTGTCCTTGATTTCAACCCGTTTAATCGTGTATAATGCATGATTATCCCTATCGCAGAAAGCTCGGAAAGATTTTTGCGGCTACGATCATTTTAGCAGTGAAGGATGGGGACTTGATTTCGGTAAACGGTTTTTTGAGTTGCGTGACTTTGTTTTGAGACAGCCCTGCAGAAATTTAAAGCAAAGTTCCGCTTTTTATTTGGAAACAAATATAATTGATTGTTGTCTCCCTTGATGTTAAGCTCTGTAAATTATTGCAAGTCAATGCGACGTTTGAAACAAAGTGGAATAATCGGTGTTCATGGCATATGTACTACTATTACTGCAGAGTTCGTCCATGGTGTTTTTATCGGTTGTTTCTCTTTAAAAACCGCGAATTTTGGCAACTCGTTTATGACAATTCCTTTTCTTTTGTGACACAAGAAATTTAAAACTGCGGTATCATTGTGATGGTTATGACCCCACTCATTCGTCACCATGTTTAACAGCTGAATTTTTATTTCGTGACGTCAGGGTCGCTAAGCTGCCCACACATTCGACTGTTTTGGAAACAACTAAAGGTTAACTTTAAGGTTCAAATAACCTGCTGTCAGCGAAGTCTGCACAGGCAAAGTATGGGAGCGTTGGCGTTAATTTTTGTTTTCATGATTTGGTTAGAGACTTCGACAGCAGCTTGTTTTAACAATACAGACTGCAACCGAGCCGATGAAAAGTCCGAAAAATGTTGCAATGGGACTTGCCGCACAAGCTGCAGTGATCAGTCGGTAAAATGTCAATCGGACACAGACTGTGCTACGGGGCAGAAGTGTTGCGATAGTGGTGAGTGCATATCCCAAGTCTCACTTTGCTCATTATCATCTAAACTTGCAGTGGCAATTCCACTTTCCCTTCTATTCTTTTTTGCCGTGGTTGTTTGTGTTTGCTCCAATCACTCATCCTGTCCAGTATATAAATCCAATCAACGACGCCGCACTGGGGTTGTCTAGGATCAACGCAGAATTTACCGCGTTTTCATCCACAAATAGAGGTGTTTGGGTGGAACTGGTATTACACCTGGCCGAAAAACTTCACCCTGCCCATCTGCTGCAAAGTCGACGTTTTATCGTAATGTGCAGTGAGGTAGCAAGGGGCCCAAGTAAAGTGGATGATGACCTAAAACGAGGCCATTGACATTATGAACTGAAATCACGCAACATTCACTACGATGACCTGGTACGTTAAAGAGCTTAGCAGTTTGAAAAGACAGAAAGCTGCAGATGTTTTTTTTTTTTTTATCGGCGATTTTAACTCCATCCAATGACTTACCACCAAGCTGGGTGTGTACTTTGTTATTCTTGTGCTCTGTTTCAAAAATAGTTATGAAGGGAAAAAAAAACTGTCCTAGCGAATGATCACAAACGACCTTACTTGTCCATGCTGCATCTTCAAACTGCTTTAAATCGTCGTTTTTAAGAAGCGTGTTTGTTCCTAGCATTTAATGTCATAACGAAGAATCGTGAGCAGTGATTGTGTATTATGGCTGGGTTTACTCGCAATATCAATGACATTTTAAACTTACAGCATCTACGCGAAAATGAACATTTCATCTATTGACCTGCATCATATAACGCGAACTCAGATGCTAGATTTACGTGAGCCTCAAGTTTCCAGTTCTTACGTACTACATAGGTAAGCATCGCAGTTTCAAGTTACTGTTTGTGAAGGGCAGAGACTAACAGCATTCGAAATATAGTTGACGCACAATTAGCTTGAGCAAACCGATATTTTTTGTTGAGTTTTTTGGGGGTATAGTTTTATCACAAACAGGCAGATCGTTTTGTGCTTTTTATGTTCCTGGCGGCTTTTACTTGCCTTTATAGGGAACGTTGCCGTTTTCTTGAACGACGAACACCCCGAAACAGTGTCCCGAAAACTCGGAATGGATTTAAATTTGCGATTTTCACAAAAGATACCAAAATACGTTTTAGAACTCGAGAAACAGATTGATTGAGAAGAAAAGTCTCTCTAAACTTGTCCTTAACTGATGCAACTGTTCTTGCCTTGTGCTCTCTCCACGTTCAAATGATCGTCAACAAGTCTGGAAGGGCCAGGAGCAACTTGAATCATTTTTATGTGTGGAATTAAAGCTTTTGGGAATAAACTATCTTTTGGGTGTTTAAGCATGCTTGGTTTCTCTTGAAAGGTAACAAACACTCGCGTAAGCCCGGCTAACTGGAAGAACGATTGAAATGAAGAAAGAATGAAGAAAAAACTTGTGCTCGCTTATTATTTTTGTTCCCACTTTTCTTCTCTTTTCGTTTATCGTAGTCGGCGTTTTAATCCATTCCGGCTCAGTCTAGACATTCCGATATTCATTAACGCAGTAATTATTCCACAGCGTTGATAAAAACGCACACACACTTAGCCCAACTTAGCAACCGTGATATACGCGCCACTGCCGTCATTATTGTCGTATAATTTAGCACATAAGAAGAAGACGTAAGTGCGCACGCGTTAATTTAAAATAGAATGATGACTTGACCATGCTACTAACCATATTACTGAGCGCGGGAAATTTTCTTTTGCTCTTTGTTGCAAAGCATTGTGGAAAATTTACTTTTGAAATTGTTCATTTTTAAAATCAGTTGAGTTTCGCAGATTTAAATCGTTCGCTTTCCATGGCGGTAATCCTTGAGTTGCGTCCTTGCGTACACCTTAGTTACTTAAAATTTTGAGGATCAAGTTTGTTCAGTATTGTTTTATAGTTGTTAAGCATGGTTATTGGTTCGTAAAGAAGTTAAATTTAGTCAAATGAGCAGATAGCCTCCAGCGGCGATTATTTTTGTCTCTCTCGTAGTAATGCTTTTAAAATATATTAAGACTTCCTTTATAGCTATTATGTAGCAGTCTTGGAAGAAATTATCCTGTTGAGATCCCGGAAAGCTGGCTTAAGAGAGATGATTCCTTAGGCAATTTAATTATGACGTTTTGATGAAAACTAAGACAATGGGAGCAGTAAGAGGTCCACCCACATACTTAACTTTAAATGTACCGCGCGCCGTTTTCTGTACGTACGTTCAACTACCTATAGCAACCTTGCATCTAGTTTGCAAGACAAAACGGCCGGCCAATAGTCCATTTTCGAGTTCGCTATCACCGCTGAATTAAAGAAGTGAAGACGCATTTTTTAACAGCCTAAGCCTCCATCTGAAATTCCAACAAGAAGAAGACCGGTTTATTATTCTGTCTATTGTGTACATTCAAATTTCAAACACTTACTTGCCAGAATTTCTGAATATATTACTTTACGTCGAGGCTAACCCTGTATGAATGCGTCGTTAATGTTTGTATTCAGCGGTAAATTTTTAATTCGAAACTGGACTATTACGGGCCTCGCCCGTCAGGCCCTGTACGGCACTAGTGCATTTTATAATTTCATGTCATAGAAAACGCGTCGATCGATTCGAGTCCACACTACCGTTTTGGTGCGTTTTTGGCTGTCCGCACGTTCGAAAAGATAGAATTGCACGTTGTGACTTAGGTTGAACCCTAGGCGGATGCTACAAATACGCTCGATATTTTCGGTCATCGTTTTCATTTTGATGCCCTTTCGACGGTCCACACTAATACGATATGTATGCGTTTCTATTTTGATCCACTTTCAAGAGCGTTTTCAAATCGATGCATTTTCCCGCGGTGAAAAAGCTCAGCGTATTAGTGTGGACGGAAGATCTAAACGCATTAAATTTCAAGGGTGGACAGGGCCTGTATGTAGTGAATTGCCCCGTCTGTGTTACATCAAGTGCTTTAAAACTGGACTTAGACGTGAATCTGCCGAGCAGTGACTGGGGGGTGTATCCAACTAAGGGCCTGTTGGCATGGAGGTAGGGGACCCCAGATAGGTGAGGTAACATGTGGCGGGTCACCCCCACCTATTATGTAAACGTGATCAAATGTAAAATGAAAGAAAATATGGACAGGCGGGTTACCCCACTTAAGCGGGTTACCTCACCTACCTGGGGTCCCCCAGCTCCATGTAAACAGGCCCTAAATTAACTCTGTTCATTTCGGGGTCCTGTACTGTTTGCTTATTAGTAATACCTTGTAATTGATTTGTAAAAAAATATAAGATATAAAACAATTAAATCTAAAGTGTAACAATAATTGAATTTCGATTCATTAAAATTCATACTAAACTAATAGTCTTCAAAGCTAGGCTTCGGCGAATAAAACTGAATCAACTAAAAAGAAATCGATCCATTATCTGAGTAGAAATATTGATTTTCGTTTCATTCTATCAGTATGCACATTCTCAAGAGCTGTTGTCTGTACATTACCGGCTTATGATACACATAAGACCCGAAGGCGCTGGTGTCGCGATTGCTATGATACACAGGAGTATTTTGTCGCTAAACGCCAAATGTGTTTGATTATTAAGTCTGCCGCTATAGCAAAAGTTGAAAGCTAATCGTCTGATGAATAAGTGCCGCTTATAACGGACTAGAAGCGGAGTACTTTGATCTATAAATCAGACACATCAATTGGTACTTAACCCTAAGTAGATTTTAACATAAAATACGTGAAGATTTAAAAAAAAGAATACGGTCAAGGTGAGACTTGCCGAAGTTCTGTTGATTCGAACATTTCCTGCTAAATATCCTTTCCTCTCGTCCTTACTAATTTACTATTTCTGAACAACTGGATGATTGGCTGTTGC